TTGGCAAAGTCTTGTGTATCCGTCAGTCACACACGGCGAGGCTAACACCGATCTCCCCCTTCCAGGACGAGGTCTTCCAGCTCACGCAGCTGACGGAGCGGATTCGCCGCCACCGCCGGCACCACAGGGAGGTGGAGTGGGAGCGCGACTACAGGGACGACTGGCACCACCGGTACAGGCGGCACCACCGCCCGCGCCACGAGTGGGATGACGAGCGCGTCAGGGAGCGCGAGGTCGTGTACGAGTCTCGCGGGCCGGCGAGGGGATACTTTCGATAAAGGGGGGGCGTTCGGGCGCGGGGTGTATATGGCGAGGGGGGGGTTGGGGAGGAGGGCAGGCTGTTTTTTATGAAGTTACGATGCATGACGGCGCGGCTAGGATAAATTGATGCTGAGTTTGGCCCTGCGCTGCGTCTGGGTGCTGGCTGGTGCGTGGTGTGACTGGCGAGCAGGGCAACGTTGAAGCCTCCGCCTCGCCCTCGTAGGCTTGCTCGGCGTCAGGCACCGATAATGGCTTCAATATTCCAGGGTGCCGTCCGACTGCGCCGCCGGCTCTAAACGGGGCACCGACGTCCGAGTGTGTCGGGCTGTGCTTGCGCTGCCGAGGACAAGACGGGGCATTCGTTGTGCCGTTTCAGCTGCTAATGCCTTCATTCATGCTGGGGAGCGTCGAGGTTGTCGATCCAGACTAAGGAACGCACGCTGGGTCAAGGCCGCAATCTGCACGAGATGATGGCGTGCACTGGTGCCGCTGACGGGTGACGGGTCCGTCGTGCTGGCGTCCCAAGAGTGAAGGGGCTGTGGGTAGGCAGATGATTTGCCTCGGGTCGGGGCCCGTGTATACGAAATGCCTACATCTCGGTCTGCCCCGTCGCCACGAGGGACATTGGAGTGTGTATGTATGGTCGATGCTCGTGCGGGCATGAGAACGCATTGAGTACAAAGAGAGAATGGGGTCGTCGCCGGGTGGAACGACTGCTGTCTGGTGTGCGACGCGTGCTCCGTCTAGTAGCAATGCGCTGTGCAGTAAATATTTTCCTGGGTGCCATGGCGGTTTTGTGTGCGGCAAGTATATATACTCTGCAATGACTATTTTATGAAGAGACATACGGTTTTCTGTGCCATCACTGGGCTGTCTATGACTGGTCTGCCGTCTTTTCGGCCGGGCAGTTGACGCGCTGGGACGTGTGTACGGGAGCATTTGGATCAGACTCGACTTTATCCAGGGGCTGGTTTGAACCGGCACTGACTTATTGGAAACCAGCTGTTTTGCAAGCTATGCCAATTCTCAACTGCAAACACTAAGAAGCTATATTGGCCATGTAGGTATTGACCCTTGCACCTGACACTGTGCCTTCGTATGAGCACCTTGAGACCACGCGAGAAAAAGTTTTATATTACAAGCGGAGTCAGGTTCGCGGACCATTTCATTGTCTCAGCTGGCAATAAACTACGGAGTAGTATGACAGAATACCTGGCTGGTTTAGGGGGGAAAAGGGGGACTGTCGTAATACCAAGTATAAAATTTGTGCTGCTTGCGCCGGTTGCCGTGGAAGCAGTGGGCGCGGCTGAACTACAAAAACAAAACGAGTCCCCGTAAACAAAAACACTGCTCTGACGCCAAGGAGGCTCATGCGTCAGTATAATGCAATGGGCATGTCGGGAAATCCATCACAAGAGATTTCGATGCGATTCGGAATTACATACCGAGTAACTACATGTGTGTGTATTGCCACGCAGCAACTGCCCAGCAGGCATTAGGGCAGAGTACATGTAGCAGGAACCTGCAGCTGGGCCGGTAACTTGCCCGAAACTACGACGTCTGCCAGGTGGTTTCTGTCTGTCTAGTCGAGGTGTCTGGCGTGCTAGACACCAAGCGGGAACAATGACGCGCGACGGGGACACAGTGCCCGTGAGTGACGGGGGAGATGGGCAGCGCTATTTTGGATCTGACGGGCGCCGGTTGTCTTTTTTGTGTGGTGCACTGGCAACCGGGCGCTGCTGGTGGCGGAGAGAGTGGGCGGGAAAAAATATCCTCCCGCACCTTGTTTGTCATGATGGCGACTGTCATTGGCTGGCGTAGCCCCGTTTTGGAGTCGGATGAGGTTGCACAGTGAGACATTCATGACTCGCACGGGGTTCGGGCTGGCGGTTTGGCAGCATGGCCTTGCCATGAAGGGCTGTGTTGGGCCGACGATTCGGACTGGTGCCGCGGTGAATTCTTGACAGGCGGCCGACCAAAACAGAGTCTGGTCCAGATAGATTACTAGGCATGGATATGGGGCTGCTGGTTCAATGTTGGTGCGCATCGCACCCCCGCTCTTCCTGTCGAGGGCTGTGTACGTACTCCATAGAAACTTGCCATATCTTGAGAAGGGATATACTGGTATGGTGGGAGCGCACAACTGTGCAGGTGCTCCAGCGAGTTCGAGTGAGATGAGAGGGTGGTATGGAGCAGTGGATAAGTGGGAATGACTGCCGGTTGGTCGTGGGAATTGCATATCGCGCCCATGTCGATGCAGACTTTCTGCATTGTTGGGGAGGAGGGGAAAAGTGTGGACACGATAAAAGGCAGAGTGTAATGCGGCAGCAGCGTGTTTCTAGTGCAAACTTCCCCCAACGGCCATGCTGCTATGCGTGGCTCGTTGCAATAGAGACTCGTATTGCATGTCGCGGATCGAGCCAGGCATTTCAGACGCCAGCCGCCTCAATCTCCCCCTGACAAAGGGTTCCGTCTGTTGATGATGGTGAACGATGCTGGTTCCATGTCTGGGCCCGTGGCACAGGGCTTCTCCGCAGAAGGGCCCTGGGGCTGCCTCTGGCGTCGGGGCTCGAGACGTCTGGTGTGTGTTGGCCGCAGACCGCCTTGTGGACGCACATTCATGGCGATGGGTCCCCGTCACTGAGCTTGTGAGGCTGGCGGTTGCCTTGATCGACGGCAGGCACATGGTCCGGCTCGGCCAGTGGCCATCATTGATGTCTGGCACGCTGGACACCGCCGCTTGGGCAGCCTGGCTGCTCGGAACATTCGAGGGCGCATCAGGTCGAAGGGTTCCTACAGCGGTGTGACACCCCCTGGGCGGCGCCCGGGTGCTTGAACCACGCCTGTACTGTGTACTAAGAATCGTCCCAGGTGCCTGCATGTGCAGCGCTGGCTCGGGACTCCCCTCATTGACTGACTGCATATGCCAGCTCCTCCCATATGTTTACATGTAACAAGTACCTCCTAGTTAGGCTTCCCTCGAAACTCTGACCTTTTTGATTCTCGTCCTTCCAACTTCCATCTTCATCCAATCCTTTAATTGCATCTCTTCTTTCCCCTTTCCTTGCTCCGTCTTTAACGGGCACAATTCAAAGCTACAAACGAGTCTGTCAGAACGCACGGCCAGCAACTCGACCAGATTTACGCCCTTGTTTATTTCCACAAGGACCATCCAGAAGACCCCCCCCCCGCCGCAACCGTCAGGTTCGCCCTGCCTGCCCTCCTGCTCTCTGGCAGTTGTCGTCGTTGACGTTACCTCGACCGAGAAGAGAAAGGGAACCAGAAAAAAAAGGCGAACCTGCCAGGCCTGCATACCAGCACGCGGCCATCCACCATCTACCGGCGACCATCCACATCCACGTCCACCACTTGAGGGCAGAAAAAATAACCCCCCCACCCGCCGCGTTTGGGGTCTCCGCCTTTGCCTACTCACACGTGCGACTTGTGGCCGGCCTCTGGCTTCCTTTGAAACATCACTACAATTCTCAACACCACAAGAAGCCGCATGACGAGACGCTCTGCGACCTACAATCATGTCGAGCTCAGAGATTAATCAGGTGCTCGCCAACTCGCTGTCTCCGGGTAGGTTCACACCTCCACTGCCCATCTTTTGGATTCCCCTGGATTCTGGCGACCCCTCGCCTGCCTCAGCGGTGCCCTTTTCTGCTCCCAGAGGCCGGCGAGTCCTTGTTTTGCGTTTGCGTGGCCTTCGTAGCCCTTTGCCGCTATCTGCCTAGACATGTTGTATTCCAAGGTGTGATTGCGTCTTGCTGACATAGTTCCTTGCACAGACGCGAACCTACGAAATGCTGCCGAGCAGCAGCTTAACCAGGCTGCGGAGAGTAACTTCGTAAGTTGCCGGATCACCCCCTCCCTAATTTGCCCCTTGTCGAGCTTCATGCCTCCCCTGGCTCCTCGTACTGACTGAGTCTACGCCTCAATATAGCCGCTCTACCTGGCGACCCTGGTACAAGAACTTGCCAACGAACAAGCAGAGGGGCCCATCCGAGTCGCCGCCGGTTTGGCCCTGAAGAACGCTTTCACAGCCCGAGACTTTCAGCGTCTGCAAGAACTTCAAACCAAGTGGCTACAACGGACAGACGAGGATACCAAGTCGCGCGTAAAGCAACTCACCCTGCAAACTCTTTCGTCCAGCAATGCCCAAGCCGGCAATGCTGCTGCCCAAGTCATCTCCTCCATTGCTGCCATCGAGCTGCCTCGCAACCAGTGGACTGACTTGATGCCCTTTCTGGTCAAAAACGTTACCGAGGGCGCCGATCACCAGAAGCAGGCCTCTTTAACCACCATCGGTTATATCTGTGAAAGCTCCGACTCGGAGCTTCGAGTTGCTCTAGTCTCTCACTCAAACGCCATCTTGACCGCTGTCGTTCAAGGGGCCAGGAAAGAGGAGGCCAACAATGAGGTTCGCTTGGCCGCTATTACCGCCCTTGGCGACTCGTTGGAGTTTGTGAGTAGCAACTTCAAACATGAGGGAGAGCGAAACTACATCATGCAGGTTGTCTGTGAGGCCACTCAGGCCGACGACTCGCGTATTCAGCAGGGCGCCTTTGGCTGTCTTAACCGAATCATGGCTCTGTACTACGACAATATGCGCTTCTACATGGAGAAGGCCCTGTTTGGCCTGACTATTCTTGGAATGAAGTCGGATGACGAGGATGTTGCCAAGCTTGCTGTCGAATTCTGGAGCACTGTCTGTGAGGAGGAGATCAACATCGAGTATGACAACGCCCAGGTTGAGCGTTCAGACCAGATGCGCAACTTTTACAACTTTGCACGCGTTGCTGCCAACGAAGTTGTCCCCGTGCTTTTGTCGCTTCTTACGAAACAGGACGAAGACGCCACTGACGACGAGTACAACATCTCCCGCGCTGCCTATCAGTGCTTGCAGCTCTACTCACAGGCCGTTGGTGCTAGTATCATCACCCCAGTCTTGCAGTTTGTTGAGGCAAACCTGCGCTCTGAGGATTGGCACTTCCGCGACGCTGCTGTCTCGGCTTTCGGCGCCATCATGGAGGGCCCAGATGAGAAGGTCCTGGATCCCATCGTCAAGCAGGCTCTTCCTATCCTGATCACCATGATGGATGATCAGTCTTTTCAAGTCAGGGACTCCACAGCCTTCACTCTGGGACGTGTTACGGATGCGTGCGCAGATGCTATCGATCCCGTTCAGCAACTCCCTACTCTCATCGAGTCATTATTCAAGGGCCTCATGAGCAACGCCAAGATGGCTCCTTCATGCTGCTGGGCTCTCATGAACCTCGCTGAACGATTCGCTGGCGATGTCGGCGCTGCTTCCAACCCCGTGACGCCTCACTTCAACCAGGCCGTCAGCTCACTGCTCGATGTCACGGCCAGACAGGACGCCGAAACTTACGTGCGCACCGCCGCCTACGAGGTGCTCAATGTCTTTGTGCAGAGCTCCGCTTCAGATAGTCTGCAGGCCATTGCCTCGCTATCCGATGTCATCATCAAGCGTCTGCAAGAGACTGTTCCGCTACAGTCTCAGGTTGTCAGCGTAGAGGATAAGATTACCCTCGAGGAGATGCAAAACAGCTTGTGCACGGTTTTGCAGGCCATTGTCATTAGACTTGATAAGGATATCGCGCCTCAAGCTGATCGTATTATGGAGATCTTGCTCCAGATCCTCAACAGCGTCGGAGGCAAGTCTAGCGTCCCCGAGGCTGTTTTCGGAACAATTTCTGCCCTCTCTACAACAATGGAGGAGGACTTCATCAAGTACATGGATGCGTTTGCTCCTTTCCTGTACAATGCTCTAGGAAACCAGGAAGAGCCCAGTCTCTGCTCCATGGCTATTGGTCTGGTCAGCGATATCACCCGCTCCATGGGAGAGCGCAGCCAACCATTCTGCGACAACTTCATGAACTATCTACTTAACAACTTGAGGGTATGCAGATCTATTCGCCGCCTGCCCAGATTCTATTACATATCCGGCTAACCCTTTTTTGTTAGAGTACCGCGCTCTCCAACCAGTTCAAGCCTGCGATCCTCCAATGCTTCGGCGACATCGCCGGTGCCATTACTGGACATTTTGAGACTTATTTGTCTGTCGTGGCTCAGGTTCTGGAGCAGGCCTCAACAGTCACTGCTACACCCGACGGTCCCATTGAGATGGTTGACTACGTGATTTCTCTTCGTGAAGGTATCATGGATGCCTGGGGTGGCATCATTGGTGCCATGAGGTCTAGTGGCAAGAGTAGGTGGCAGGCTCCTGGCAATTTGTGGCTTACCATCCTTTACCATCGTCAGTTTGCTAATCCTTTCACAGCGCAAGCTCTGCAGCAATACGTCCCTGCAATCTTTAACTTGCTTGGCCAGATTGCCAACGATACCATCCGAAGCGAGGGATTGTTGCGTGCGAGCATGGGCGTTATTGGGTATGTGTGACTAGGCCTTTGAATATGTACCTGGATACCCGCTAACCTCGTCGTAGTGATCTTGCTGAGGCTTACCCCAATGGTCAATTGGTGGACGCATTCCGCCAGGAGTGGCTGACGGCCATGATCAAAGAGACCAAGACCAACCGCGAGTTCAAGCCGCAAACCATTGAGACTGCTCGCTGGGCTCGGGAACAAGTCAAGCGTCAGCTTGGAGGCGCTCAAACCGTAATGTCTTGAGCCACTCTATTCGACACAACCGACCAGGAAGAGTTTTGAATCACGGACCAACAGTCAAGACTCCTCCCCTCAATGCTCTTGCGATGCCGCCTTGGTCCCCACGACTTCGAAAGAGGTCAATGGCCCACGCCACGGTGCCAGCGGCATCACCGCCATGCCTGAAACGCCACCTGCAAACACATTACCCAACAACACGATTCCTACGACCCTTTCACGTGTACATAGAACCCCCCACGACACTTCAGTAATCAAAATACCCCCCCTTCACCAATACTACGATATTGATTCCCCCCATGCCTTCAAATGCCCTCGTGTTCTAATTTACAGACACGCATCTACCATTATCATTTCCCTCACCCCCCAATCCCCTTTCCGCCTCACAACCCCCAACATATTGCCCACTACACATCTTTTGTTTAATTACCTCAAGCTACAACGAAGGGATAGAGAAGTCATGTAAAGCCCCGCATGGAATTTTTCTCAAAAAAGAGAGCGGCGGCACGTTATAAAGTCATGTAGAGAGGAACAGGGAGTACAGGCGGCAGGTTTCTACTCTTTGGTCAGTTTTTATTTTATCTTATTATTTTTTTCTCCCCTCGCCTCGGGCTCAAATATCGGCTTTTTGTCACATTCTATATGATATTTTTTTCGTTTCTTCCATTGTGTTTTTCTTGCCTCATGTTATTTGCGCTAGACGCCCTTCAAGTGAATGGGATCCTTCTAGAGCATATACGCAAAAAGCCGGATCTGGGATTACAGCATCATCAGTCAGAGAGAGGTGTGTTGTGGATGAATATGAAGATGTTGCATAGGGGTGTGTCGGTGAAAGATATGGAAAGGCTGTGGAAACGGAGAGAGCGCATGATTTGATTTGCCTGGATGGGTATTTTGGCGAGCGTGTGCTGGTGGTATTAGACTTGGCATCAAGTGATGCTTGTCGAGACGCAAGCTACACGAACAGTTCAATAAGAATAGTTGGTCCACTCTCGTTGTCATGTGCTTAATCTTTTCTTCCATGACTGTGCAATTATCTGTCCATTGTAGTATCACGGCGTATGTCTAATCGAAAGCGGGTGGGATCTGAAGATAAATAGGCTCGGCTGTCAATTCAATAGGCCATGTATGTGTTTCTACGGTTTATCTTTGGTACGTGGTATATATCGTGGAGCATGCCATCTGGCGCCTAGGTCATGGCTAACCCGTCTCTCATTGCATCGTGTCCAGCCAGGCACTGCTGTTCATCCAAGCAGACGTCGCCCCGTCAATGTAAAACTGCAATTCGCCCTCGAAACCATCCGTTCCAGGAACAAGTTGCGGGTTGAAGTTGCCCGCGCCATAATGCGGAGCCGGCGGGCCGGGATTGTTTGAGTCAAACGCTTCGATGAGCATGCTTAGGCTGTCGGCGTTTTGACGGCCCATCGGGGTGTGCATGTACATATTGTGTGAGTTTGGTTGGACTGCTGCGTGAGGGGGCTGGAGCTGGTTTGCATACGGGTGTGGGGAGATTGTTGCTGGTGCTGGAAGGGTTGCGCCTGGGTAGCCCTGCGATTGATGGAGTTGTGGTTGGGTTTGTTGTTGCGGCGGAGAGGGTAACTGGAGGCTGGGAGCAGGATTAGATATAGCGCTTTGGTGGTGCGGTGACCCGATGGATGACGAGGGCGGTAGTTCAGGCTGGGTTCCTGGTCGTGGGAGGATGTTTGGTCCGGGTAGAGTTGGGGGAGGCGCAGGGGGTAGAATCGGCTTTGTGATGGGGAATAGGGGCGGTAATTGTCGTGTAAAGCGAGGGATGGGATCTTTCCCGTCGTCCATGCTTCCTTCATTGCCAAACGTGGCCGACTGCGGATCGAGGGAGAACTTCTCGAGGGCTTCTACCCAGCGTGCTGCTAGGGGCCATACTTCTCGACATTCTTTGAGGATGTTGATTGTTCTTTGGAGCATCATTGGTCCGTCACGGACGAGGGCTTTGTCCTGGCAGACTGGTAGGTTTGGTGTTGGCTTGTTATATTTGTAAATCGAGAACGGGAGGGAGGTGAGAGGGAGCGGGGGCTTACTGCTGGGGTATTTGCAAAGGTAGGTTGAGAACAAGCCACAGCTATATACACAAAATGCGGCAATTTGGGCGCCGACGCTCTCATCCGGAGATCTGTTCGTGAATTGGGCATCGATTTGTTCGTACAGATATCGCACGTTGATGAAGATTTCGTTGGACATGTCTGTGAAGAATTTCGTGTGGCCCTTTTTGTCGGGTTTTATAATGCTGTATACTTGTTGTAAGTTTGTAAAGAATGCCTGGGGGGGTGGTTACAGATACGGCGTAGGGAGGGCAACTGACTCTATCAGATATGGTCTACGAAGAACGATGTTAGACAAGCGCGTCATCATTGTCACGCACAAATAGGCCAATTCCTGGCTTTCCGCCTTGTACCGTTTGAGAAGATAGGTGCTCCATCTATGTTCCTGAGGTAATTTCTCTTCCCACTCTCTCAGCTTCTCGGCGGTTTGCGAGAATTCACTCGCTGGGTCCCAGGGACGCGGACTCTTGCTGAACCTGACGGCACGTCGTCCAACTACGCCCCACCAGGAGTGAATCTGCATAAGCGTTGCAAAGAGCGAACGGTTGGAATCTCGTATTAGCTCCGGGTTGTCCATCGCGGGCGGTGTCCCTTCCAAAGCAGCTCGCGATCTTGGTTCATGTCCATTCGCAAAGTCCTCTTCGTTGCAGGGTAGAAGTGTCGTGATGTCACCTGCGGACAGCGACACGGGAGACAGGGGCCCTGAATGTAAATTGTCTTGGCTGTGTAACATCCACTAACAAAGAAATTAGCTGCCATGTCGGGGGAGGGTTAAATAGCAAGATTGCCTGAAATCCAACGTCTTACAAGTGTTCGTCTTGCGGATTCGGCGCGTATGATGAGCTCAGGTGTTGGGTTCGAAATATGATACATTTCCTCTCGCTGGAGCTGCATGAGAATGGCCATTCGGATGGCAATGCCCATATTAATCTTTGGCAACCCTGGTTAGCACTGACCGGGGCATATCAGGGCAGCTAATGGTCAAATTACTTACATAGCTCCTGTTGCGCTCACCACTGCCTTGTTGGGCAATGCTTAACAAATAAAAGGCTTGGCATCTTTCTAGTGTAGGTTCTTGGTACACCTCTTCGAACGCAATCGACGATGCCCTTTCCATAAAGTACTCGGCAGCTTTCACACCGGTCCCATATCGTAATTTGAAGGCAGGACTGAGTCGAGCTGAAATGCTGAGGATTCCCATGAGTAGAAACAAGCTAGTTGAGCGCGAATCCTTACGCAGACGCTCCGGATACTGCTCCTTTGGAATAAAGCCGAGTTGAAAGTACTGTTTTGTGAAAAGATTGACGCCGTCAATGAGCTCCTCGAGAGGGGGGAGATTCTCCCAATTATCAGCCTGCCGTTGTTGAGTTACAAGTGAGTCATCTGCATTACAGCGACGTGGCTTGGAGCTGATCGAACCACTTCTCGTAGTCTTTTCGGCTCTCGTGCGAGGGTGTCGATACTCACGATCCAGATCAGGTTGTCCCCTGACTGGAAAGATGCTGTGTAAAGGGAGCGGGGTGTTAGAGATGGGAATTAGGCGAGGAACATTCGGCGCAAGTGTAACTAACCATTCCTCCGCAGGTATGCCCGCTTCATGACAGGACTTGCACGGAGACTTGCCCTTCTCGTGAATGCACTTGCTTCTCATCCGGCGACATCTGCATATTGATGTTAATATTTGTTGGTATACGAATCAAATATAATGTTTCGGTCTGACCTTCGGCATGCGATTGGAGATCGGCGTTTGATTGCCGGAGCTTGGCCTTGGCTGGCGACAGAAGCTCCGCCGTCTACGCTCAAAGGACTTGCCGCTGAGCCCGGCGCTGCTGAATTATTTGAGGCATTCGAGGCTGCGGACGTAGACCCGTTGCTCATCACAAAGGTATAGGCATGATTCACCCCGGCAGGCCCGGCAGGCCCAGCAGGGTCCATCTCCTTTGCCGGAGATCCAGCGGAGGACCAGCGGGAATACTTGTAGAAGACGGAGTGCTCAGCGTGGTGTACAGAAGTGGGCGTCTTGGCTTCAGACACAACGGGGGGTGGCCTCGCTTTATTTCGCGTGTGGATTCTATCTTGGGTCCAGGAGTCTCAAGCCTAGAGACTGGTCGGCCTGGCCCAGCCGGCACCCGCGAAGAATCAATCAATTCTCGTCCTTGAGCTTAGTATAACCGAAGTCAGGTCACCAGGTGTAGCCTCGCTCTTGATCCAAGTCGCAGGCAGCACGGAGATAAGAGGGCTGGGCCGAGATTCTTCTATGATCTAAAAATCATGTGATATCCTTCAGCTTCAGCTTCTCCGGTTTCGATTGGAATCGTCCCTGCTGCGGCTGTGCTGCTCTGCTGGTTCTCGGCGAAGATGATCAGTATGGGCTTAATCGGACGAAACTCTTGGCTAGCCACGCCGGGGATGGCCAGGCTTTTTCTTCACCACTAGTTTTGGAGTGCGGAGGCTGAGGACAGCCGTCCAAAGTGTCCAGAGTTCGCTTGGCTTGCTGCATGGAGTACAAGGACGCAATAGCGCAATCTGCAAGATGCAGTCGAAAAGAAGTACCAGTCGACACTAGCCTGTCTGGGATAGTTGCTGTGTCACTCCGTACTAGTATGTGCAGTTGATGACGCCCCATCAGACACACACTGCTGATAATGATATCGAAGGGCATGTGCCGGCATTGCGGCGCCATTGTCCCGTCTGACAGCCTTCATCGAGCCAGCGGTTTAATATATTCCATGTTGGGTCCGGGGTCACATCCTGGCATCGTTCAGCCACAATCTGTCCGGTATAAAACACTCCTTACAGTTTGGGAAGCAGTGACTTGTCCAGACCGGGCCCTTGGCTTATCAGGCGCTATGGTATTAGAGGGTATGCAATGCTATGCTCCGTAGTTGAATGCTATAACACCATGGTTAGCAAAAGCGAAAAAAGTTGAAAAAAATTATGGGAGCAAATTATGCCCCAAACCCCCCAGGTAGTCGACCTTTGTGTGGCTCTTGCTGGTAGTAGTAGGTCTGTCAGTACTCAGCCAGTGAGACGTCTCTGGCGCTCCCGCAGCTTGATTTTGATATCAATCGATGTTCCACTTTACTCAGTTCAGCCTGAGCACTCCATTACAGTGGCTGCTGTTAGCAGGCCAGCCACCGCTTTGTTCTCTGTCGTCTGCCCCAGCCACTTGCTGGTAGCCGTCAAGTTGCCTAAAGTAGGATGCTATAAGAGCTCCCACAAAACAATCTTCTTAGTGGTGTACGGAGTAGGCCAACTCTATCCATTTGAGCCAGTACTCCGTGGATGCGCCATCATAACCCTGCCTTACTTTGCGTACACAATCCCGAAGCTGTCTGTTCATGCTTGATGTAAATGTCTGTATGGCAACCAAGACCATTTGGTCGTCTTGTCAGCGGAGCCACGGCGGCAGCCTCTGTGTGTTGCGCGGACCCTCTGAGTGACAGTGTCTAACGCCACCATTTTCATGCATTGCTACCCTCCGCCTGGCACGATCGTCCTGTGTTGGAAAGAAAATTAGCTGCTTTCAAACTCCAATCTTTAGGCCACGGAGAGCTAACACGGGGTACTAGCCACTTTCCATGTGGACAGAGTCGTACAGATCTCCTCCTAATATGGAGAAACTGACGGGGACGCTCTTGTATCAACTGAAGGCCCGGAATCATCCTAGATGGACCAATCAACCTGAAGCCCAGATGGATGGTAATGTGATGATACGTCCCTGTGGACAAGGGCTTTCGGGCCATGAACCTCTCGATCACAACGACCCACTACTACTAGTACTTCAGTCGATCATGTTGTGCTTTTGTCCTGGCCAGGGCAACCTTGTCCATACCACCCACGCATTGTGTGCGCCCCAATCCTCAATCCTCAATTGACGGAGCTTGAGTGGTCAGGTGTGGCCCGGAACCTGAACACTGACTGGTTCGAGCATGGAGAGACGGTCTATTATCGTGAGAGATGGCAGATGGTGCGGAGAAATTGAGAGGTCCATACATACCTCGTCATCCACCGGCAGCGGCATAAGGCTCGATGAGTCGATGCAGCCACCGCCGCCCGACGTACCGAGAGTACCAGTCAAATTGACGTGCCAATCAACAGCTGCAACAGAGTTGGTGGCGGTGGTTTGATTGAGGTTATCATCAGAAGGAAAGCATTCGAGAGCCAATTCCACGAAGTTGGACAAGGGAAATTCTCTAATGATGACGGCGTGTGACACCACCAGACTGTTGGCCTGTTAAACAACGGAGCGGCAGGTGCGATCCGGGTCCTGACGGCAGACCGAGAGAGTCTGATGCCTAGGGTAGGTAGGGCTATGCTTTGATTTTTTTTGAGATTTTTTTTTTTTTTTTTCCTCCTGCTGTTCCAAAGAACTGATACGCCTGCCTTTCTATAATTGCGAAATCAAACATTGTGGGCTCGAGATTGTTGGAACCTACATACGTACATAATAGTAATAATGATCTTGGCCCTGCCGCCATCTGAAGCTTCATGGTGGAGTGGCGCCCACCAGACCTGCTTAGCCATATCGCAGTAATTAGATGGAGAAAAATTTCGCTCGCTGGGCGCCAAGGCCAGCACGACGACCGACGACCGACGACTCATCGACCATCACGAGTCTCACTAGTAAGCACAAAAATACACCAATTACATGTAATTGATTTTCGGTCCCTTCTCTACTCTTCACTTTTAACAATACTGCAGTTGTAGCCAATCTCTGTAATCGTATCCTCAAGACAGTGCCCGTCCATCTGCGGCACATCGCCACATCTCACCATGGCCGCAGCCCTCACAACCATCTCGCTGCCGTCGCTGCAGAAAATCGCATCCGGCAAAGTCCGCGATCTCTTCAGCCTCCCCGACCCCAATGCCCTGCTCTTCGTCGCATCAGACCGTCTCTCCGCCTTTGACGTCGTCATGACCAACGGCATCCCCAACAAGGGAGCCATCCTGACGCTCATGTCGGCGTACTGGTTCCGCGTGCTGTCTGAGCGCATCCCCAGCCTCCGCACACACTTCATCAGCCTGGATGTTCCCGCGGGCATTCCCGCCGAGGAGGCCAGCGTCGTCAAGAACCGCAGCATGCAGGTTCGCAAGCTGCAGGTGTTGAAAATCGAGGCCATCGTGAGGGGGTATATTACCGGGAGCGCGTGGAAGGAGTACCAGGCCAGGGGGACCGTTCACGGCCTCGCCATGCCCCAGGGCATGCGGCTTGCTCAGAAATTCCCCAGCGCCATTTACACGCCTAGCACCAAGGCGGAGGCGGGCGCGCACGACGAGAACATCCACCCCGACGATGCGTGGAAGGAGATTGGCGACAGGGAGACTGCCGACAAGGTCGAGGCGCTGGCTTTGACAATCTACAAGGCCGCCGCTGCGTATGCGGAGGAGCGTGGCATTATTATTGCCGACACCAAGTTCGAGTTTGCCAAGGATGCCGAGGGCAACATTTATCTCGTGGACGAGGTGTTGACGCCCGACAGTTCGCGGTTCTGGAGAAAGGATGGGTATGAGGTAGGAAAGGAGCCGGACAGCTTCGATAAGCAGTTTGTGAGGAATTGGTTGATCAAGGAGGGGCTCAGGGCCAAAGAGGGCGTGACGCTTCCAGAAGATATTTGTGTTGCTACGGGAGAGAAGTACAAGGAGGCGTTTTACCTGTTGACGGGCACCAAGTTTGAAGATGCGGCTAACAACTAGTTATCCTGGCAGGTCAAATGACTGGGCTGTGTTGGGGTAATGATTATAATTAGATGGAACCTTTTGGAGTCTTTATGTGTTGCTTCTAGATGGTTGTTCTCCCATTGCAGTCTATAACATGAATCACGATGACGCCCACCTCCAGTCATGCTGTGTAAGCAGGCCTTCTTTCACGTCAACATTTCTCATTGGGAAATGGTCGTTTTAATCCTAGGCTCGGTCAGCAATCCCTATCCAAACGGGCACCCCAGTCTGCCCAGCAGAACAGAGCGAAAGGGCGTAAATACCTCTTGATGCCTTCCTTTACAATATCGGGATCCTGTGTATAAACCATCCGAAACCAGCCCGGCTTGAGTGAATGTTCCTCCCTTGGATGCAAAAACACTCCATTTGCCATCAGCTTCTTGGCCAGGGCAAACTCGGCATTCGGCTCGCCGTCCAAGTCGGTCGGCAGATACGGCGACAAGTCAATCCACAAGAAGAAGCCGGCGTTGCTCCCCGCCAGATACTGCACGCCGATGTCCTTCAACCCCGACGTGGCAACGCCATACGCCTCCTTTAACTTGACCCGGTTGAGTTCCACAAACTCGCGGCACCACTTCCGATCCTCCAGCATGGCGGCGCCAATGGCAAGACTGGGGCCGGCCGGGTTGTGGAAGCGGATGACTCCCCGGATGGCTGCTTCGACGGCCTTGCTACGAGTGATGATGGCGCCGATGCGGAGGCCTGCGGAGCCAAAGTCCTTGCTGAAGCCGTAGGTTACGTGGAGGCGTTCGGTGTCGATGAGGCCCTCGGGGTCGATGGCAAGGATGGATGTGAATTCGGTGGCGGAGGGCTCGCCCGAGTCGAAGGTTGAGCAGGCGTAGATCTCGTCACTTATGAGGTGGATGTTGTGGCGTTGGCAGAATTTCATGAGAGCGACGAGGGTGTTTCGGGGATAACATTTCCCTTTTCGAAGGGGCCCACGAGATGACAAGTCAGATGATGTCGGTGAGATGATGGGTTGAAAGGCAGCGTACCTAGAGGGTTATGCGGATTCACGATGAGGACGGCTCTGATCTTTACACCCGCGGCCTCGGACTTGACCAGGGCGTCTTCAAACTTGTCGACAACGTCCTCGTCAAAGGCATTTTCTGCGTCAGTGTCGGCGTAAACGACACTGACGTCGGCTCTGTTGCCAAAGTCTAGCTCGAATCGTCCGTACACTGGACGGCTTGTCATGATTCCGTCTCCTGGGTCGGCCAGCCCCCAGGCGAGGATTTCGTGCATCGGGGTGGCAGAGCCGGTGACCTTGATGTGATCGGCCGTGATGGGTGTGTACGGCCTCAAGTACTCATTGAGATGGACTGCTAGTGCTGTTGGAAAGCGGGCTCCGCCCGCAAGACTGAAGCCATATGTGAATTGCTGCGATTCGAATTTCACCTACATGCAGTGGTGGTGAGTCTAGGCGAATAGGGGCGCAAAATGCAAGATGAAATCATACGGCACTATTCACGAAGCTTTCCACGTTGCTGGTGATTAGTTTCTATAAAGCATTTTAGTATTTTCACGTCGGGAGAGCAATTCTATTTGATAAGGAATTGTTACATTCTCAGCGGTTCCGAATGAAATCAGGCCGTCCGGGTTCTTCTCAGCATCATACGTCTGTGAGGGTGCAAATCTCCAGGGTAAGCTTTGCTTCTCGAGAGAAGCGGCCGAACGTTTGGAAAGATAGGACTCCATTGTTTCAAAGGTGCTGGTGGCCAAAATAGGAGAATACGGCAAGCATCTAATGCAATCGACCGCACTCGACTAACATACATGAAGAAACGAAGTTGAAGAAGAGGAAAGGGTGGGCAGAAACGTGCTCATGGCGCAGGTATGTACACCTCGCAAGACATGCAGTGCAGTCCACATCGGTGCCCGACATTTGCGACTACCCGTACTCCGTACACCGGTTGTTCTGATGAGTCATGTTGTGGATCACCAGCAGCATTTTTATGGAGGGACGCTTGTCAATTGAAGGGCTTGGTTCTCTTGCCTTGCTACACGCAGGGCAGTGTTTTGCGTGACCGTGGGACGGGAGCCTGTGGCATTGTGGATTGTATCCGGATCGATGGCATGGTGGCTACATTTGCCGTGGTTGGTGTTTGGGCTCGACTGTGGTCAGCATCGCAGACCGTGTCTAAGCGGCATGTCGAATCGTCGCAGTGAAGAAATCTGCCGGATTTGAAAATGAATTTATAACCAGGTATTTCGAAAATTTCTCAACTCCAATACGCAATCATGATGCTGATGCTAATTCTGGAGACAGCTATACCATTGACCGTTTCCAACCATGTCTAGGGTTAGGGTTCTACACATGCACTTGCGTAGTCGACCAGGGAACTCTGACTTGAGTTTCAAGGGCAGGTAATACATTGTATCAATTGATGCAAAATAGTATTGTGTTGCACAGTTATTCAACGCAATAATGACAATGACCAATAAGCATCGTTTGTGAATCTAGGATCGACATATTCTCTATTATAGCTGCCGGCTGTAAACGTCTACCTCGACAGCTGCCAATAAGAATCTGCCAGCTGATATTAAAGTCACAATAGACAGCTACTACCGTGGCGCGTCTGACCGCGTCATTTAATCCATCCCCAAAGACAGAGAACTTTTTTAATTTCCACCATTTCTTCCAACAGCCCAACCAGAAATATCACTTCATCTAGTAGTTCCTAGTATTGGTGCAGATCAAAGCTGTGGATTTATCGTTCCAACATCCCACAACATTCAGCCTTTACCTTGAATAGATATACGGTACAACCATCTCGGCTGACCTGAATCTTCTGATACCTCAAGGTGATGTCCAGCGACGACCATGTTTTTCAGTCATGAGAGTACGTTTTACAAGTATGTCACTGGATGTCTAGTTACTAACTCGTCGCTAGTCTTAAGTAACAACCAATATGGTGTTGCAACAATATGGTACCATTTAGCATAGCCATGATTATCCCCAGAGCATTGCTAAGATGTCCTAGGCTTGTCGCAACCGTTGGCAAAACTGGCCAGCGGAAGTTAAGTCGCAAGACCCTTCAAGATGTTGACATCCCCAGGGCATGCGAGAAGATTCTTGATCCTGGGGCCCCTCTTGCTTTACGACTTCAGGGGAACCTGCTATATGGAGTCTCACGGGTGTTTTCTCACCAGTGCAACTACGTTCTTTCGGATGCCGGGAAGACTCAATCGGATATGATGACCTTCTTTCGCTCCATGAATACAAGCGCGACGGATGAGAATGCAGGAAAGGCCAAGTAAGCGCCATTGGTATCCCTCATGTCCCAGAAAGAGAGTACAGTCAATCTAATCAGTAAAAGGCGACAACACATCACGCTCCAAGATGACCCCAGCTTCGACCCTATGGCGATGCTTCCAGGGTTGGAAAAGTTGCTCAACACCGAGACCCTCTTCAGCTTTACGGCAACTCAGGAATCGGCCGCCAAATACTCGCAGATGTCACCACTTGACAACGTTAGCCTAGCGAGTGCAGCCACCAGTCGTCGCTCAAGCTTCATCGGCTTGGATATTCCTCTTTCATCACACTCTGTCGGAAGCTACCAACTTCCTGGTGACCTTGGCCGCTACAGTTCGCCCTTTAATAAGGGCATCCAGGAACCAGACAACATGCCCGAACTAGCCTCATTTGCAGACAATGAATTCGATCCAATTTGCGGCGTCGGCCTTGATTTTGATGCTGACGGCAACTTGATCGGCATACTTGACGATGAGCCTGAACTGCCACCCTTGCGTGGCACGAGTCCCGACCCTCTCCTCGCGGCCGGTATTACGACGCCGAGACTTGAGGATATAATGCATCAAGATAATCAGGACGTGGCGGAAGAGCCCATTCCTGATCTCGGTGAAGCCGCACTGCCAGATGCAGAACCGTTCGCAGTACCCCCGGCCGTCGAGGAACGCAACACCGACGCACTAACACTGACCACGGAGACCACAGAGACGGGGAAAGCCGCAGCTCCATACAGAGCTTCCCATCGCCGGAGGTTTCCAGAAATGCTTGACCAAGAACTCCGAGTCCCACGAGACGAGTTTCGTGGTTGGACCGAGGACTATGCGACAAACATGCTCGCTGTCCGCAACAAAATCAAGGCCACAACGCAAGCAAAAGCCAAACAAAACGCACTCGCGTTTCTCTACTTGAAGGGGATAGCACAAGTTGGCAATTTCCAGAGAGACTTCGGTGTCAACCACCCATTGGCACATGAATTCGCTGGCACAGCTCTAAAGGCTCATGTCCTGGGGCTTAACGTAGACGACATTGAGGATATCAATCCGAAGAAGGGCAGACGCCGCAAGTCACCTGAAGCATTTGGGCACGGCAACGACAACATCAGAAACGTACGACAGCGTATAGACGAAGATGAGTTCGCGCGAGGAGAAGCCGCCGCGCCCGCGGATGGCCTCGACCTCGGCCACGACTCGGCCCCAGAACTAGGCCTAGAAGCCGGAGCAGCACTCGAGGACAAGCACTCTTCCTCTCTGATGCCCTGGAGCCGCCAGGGATCCGCGGCACCTGGATCGGCCCCGCGCGCCCCGGGAAGTGCTCAGAAGTCCGTCGCGGCGCCCAGCCCCCTCCACGGCCGAGCAAGAGGAAGCCTCATCGGCTCCGTCGAAAGACAGAGCGACCCCATCGAGGGCTCTCTTGGAGTTGTCGGCTTCGACTCCCAGCTGTCCTCGATGGACTTTGACCAGGGCCTCCTGACGCTCAACCTCGGTGCCGCGGACGACACCCTTCCATCTACCCAGGGGCTAGACACCTCCAGCCAACGCTTCCTGACGTACGTTGCGAACCAGGTCGTGGCGGACGAGGCCCTCGGAGCCCGCGGCGCCCAGCAGAAATACTGGATTGATTTCGACAGTCTTGCCAGTCCGAATGTCCACACCAAGGCCATTGCTGCACAGGCTTTCCTTCACGTGCTTTCCCTCGCGACCAAGGGCGTCATTTCTGTTGAGCAGGACGGCATCCAGGACAAGCAGCCCTTTGGCGCTCTCCGCGTCGGGCTTGCAGGCCACGTTCTGGACGCGGCTACCGCCATCCTTGAATGATTCTGGTTTTGGGAATGCCGCCTGCAGGACTCGCATTGGAGCTGCAACGCGTCCATCTAAACGGCAACTGATTCCCGACGTTCTCGGAGACTACGAGATTTTGCGTTAAGTTTTTACTTTTTCATTTTCATGATATGCTTTTTATCTGTTCTCGTTCTTATCTTCCGTTCTATTCGATTGATCCTTTTTATTATCGCTATTCTTTAACTCTCGAGTTTGATTTTTACATGGGAGATGTAGTCAATCATCACCAGAGTTGGCGGGTGGTCAAGTTGACCTGATTCTGGGACTGGGACAATATTGGCGAATATTTTCAAATCATGGTGGGGATTTCATCATGCGAATGACAAAATGAGGGGTTTGATTTTCCATTTTTGAGCATTCTCTACCCAACTCTATATCTGCGGGATGGGATGGGATGGGATAGTGCGATATATCAGGGCACAGTCGGCGCTCAAGTTGAATTTTTCTATTACTGGGAATGGCATCACATGCGGGTGGGGGGAGGGCTGCTGGTGGCATAATTATTCATTTGGTCACATAAACTCATGGGTGGTAAGCTATCTTAGTTAACAAATGCATCATCGTCATCATTAACGCCTTCCCTATCCTCAAATTGCATGTAATTTTCTTCATCAGCCCCACCAACAAATTGCCATGCCTTTTTCACATACTGTAGGATAGAGTCGTTGAGAGCCAAATCGGACGTTATCCAGTCAAAGGTTCCAATATTGTCTTCCGAGGCAAAGGAGCCTGTACCAGTTACTTGTTCATAATGCATCCGCCAGAGGCATTCAGGCGGCTCAGATGTTGGGATTGCGTTCAGGAAAGATGAGAGTGCATTACTCAGAAGACTCTTGGAAGTGGAGCTAGAGACTGTGCTCAGATACACGATGCCTGGTATTTTATCTCGTTAGCGAGCTGCTTTCGAAGAGACTCCCCAAGAATAATGAGCAATGAGATTGTGCAATCAGGTTGTCAGAGATAAGAATCGTCATTGTAATTCAGACAATGTAGATAAGTATTCGTTTTATTTGGCTCATCCGAACACGAACATAGGCATGAAAAATCAAGAGAGGGGAAGTACTCACATTGTCCGGCTGGACATTCACCAGTATCACTGGAATGAACCAAGGCATAAATGGGAAACCCAGAGGCAGTGCCATCATCAGTTGAAATGGAACCGACAGGGAATGCTACTACTGCTGCGCATGGTGTTGGGGCACCCTCAACAACGACTTGCAACACGCTGGGCACGGGGGAGTTGACAACAGCGATGAGTCTGCTGAGAAGGACACTATCGGTTGAAGTCTCTTTGGTGCTTTGGACTAAAGTTTTTGACTTTACGACCACGCCGTTGGCGAGAGAAACTTGGACGTTTGTCTCGCCGTCAGAATCCATGCGCTGCACCTCGGAGATGCCAGTCCCCAACATGTAAACAGCGCCGCCAACAGCACCGGCACGACAACCTACCTGAGCCACTTCTGACAGGCCCCCCCATTTGGGATACACGGCCGCGAAGCCAGCTCCGAACATGCCCATAGAGGTAAGATGACGATGAATAGCGGCCAACCCATCGCCTACCGAGATTTTGCCATCTGCGGAGAGAGTTAGGGTGACGACATATGACTGCAAGTCACCATCCAATTTGAATTCCCTTTCCAGGAACTCGGCAAGTGGTTCTGATTCGCTCGGTTTCCACAACTCAGCCTGCGACTCGGTGTCATAATCAAGAACAAACTTGAGAAACTTCATCAACGAGCGCTTCGCACGAGCTGGAATAGTGGTATTGGAGAAGACATCTTCTCTCGTGGACGGTATCCGACTGAGTGTTGGCTCTGAGGATGCCCCAGCGGCCTGATAGATGAAGAACGACCCGACGGCCAGGAACTCGATCTGCCGAAAGGCCTTCGACGAAACCAACTGGTTAACCAACTCAGATTGTGCGAGGATCAGCTGCGGAGCTAAAGGAATATTATACGATCGTGAAGCTGCAAGACCTTCACTCTCCTTGGTAATCTGCGCTCCAGCAAACGGAGTGGCATCCGGACCGCTGTGCCTCGCAGCCCAGTCATCCGCCTCCTGAAGACTCAACGCAGCCTCGGCACCGCCATAGTACTCGTTAGGGTCGACGTGGAGGACATTCTTCCCCGACCGCGAAAGAGCTCTTTTGCAGATGGTCAGCAATAAGGCCTAAAGTCAATTAGACTGATTTGGGGAGGAAAGAGTATAGCCAATGGAATCCAAGAAGCTTACAGGGCCAGAAGGGACTGCTGTAGCCCTGTGCCGCTGATCACTACATCCCACTGTGTGTCTGAGAGGGATTCCATGGTGTGGAGGATGGGAGGGAGGCGGGTGATGGAGAAGAAAGTTGAAGCATTTTGTTTTGCAGATCGGATGGAGGGTTTTTGCATGCCGGGCTCGTGAGTGGTGGGGGTTGGTCGCGTTTGGCTTAGTGGCTTTGTGTGGTAGGCGAGTACTTGCCTGCGGGCCATCAATTCCCACTCCGAAGTTTTTTTTCCCTTCTTCATTCACCCGCTCTTCTTAACGACCAATGCATTGTGTACCGCTGTGTATGTCGCATTGCGCGTCAAAAATTCATGCAATTTTACAAGAGCGGCAGATTAATTTGTCGGCCGGTATCTACTGCCCTAGAATAACGCCTGAAAGGGTGGTTCGAATGGTTGACACATGCCTCATCAGCTGACAGCCACCATGGCTGTTTAGCTATATCTACGTTTGCGCGTTTTAATTCACTCGAATCGGACTGGGAGATATGGGTATCATCCATGTTCTGATTTGACTTCTTATCTAGTTGCCGGTTATCGCAGCTGTAACACCCTTCCACCTTTGGTTTGCCCAGCTCATAAGACTCTTTGATCGGAGTAGTTTTGGTGATAGTACGACGCCCCCATGCTTGGATATGGACAATATCCTCATAGCTTCTTCTTGACAATCTACTACAAGTGTGATGTTTTCATCGCACAGTGATTCCTCGAGTCTGTCAGGGTCGACCAATAGCCAGAACCTTCCATCAGTCGGCCTGTCCGTCTCCTTGCCTGTAAACACCGCCGCCGTGCAAGCAACAGGCATTCCCGTAATCGTGAGGGGCTTCGGGTCCTTTTTTGTGCAAAGAACCATGTCACGGTCGGGGTCGTAGCGTCCTCGAGGCAGTTTCGTGTCTCGTAATGCAGCGAGCGTCGCAGCCCAGGCCGCGTCAAATGGATTTCCGTCAAAGGAAATAAAGAAGATGTCAATGTATAGCACCCAGTATGCGGCCACGTACTCTTCTCCACTCTGCTTATCGACATCCTCTTCGTCTTCGTCCATCTCATCATCGTCATCAGCAACCATGCGTTCCGATGGCCAAGTGTGCCATATCCGCAGATCCTCTGCTTGGAGCAGTTTTGAGTCGTGAAGAAGAGAATATATCCTGGTGCTCAGAGTCTGGGCCAGCGTCGTAGGAGGCCCTCCTGGTAGAAACTGGGGGGAAGATCCCGTGGCCAGTTCAATGTTTGGCACAAGCAGGTCATAATCTCGAAGCTCAGTTTCTCGGTTGGAGGCACGGTAGTTGGGGATGTGTTGTGCCAAGATGGTTTCGCCGCGAACGCCGCAGATGACAGTTGTGTCTCCCATGCGAACTAGAGAACTGCCATGCGGGTGTGACAGGCTGGAGAGATTGACGGTCGTCGGGCGAACCTCCTCTGGGGCGCGGCCATTGCTTCGTGCCGGTGCAACATGGTCATCAGAAGGCTCTAGGTTGGCAAGAAGATATGGATGAGGCGAGAGTTTTGCAAATGTGGCACGCGAAAGGCCCGCATCAGGCGCCATGACGACAAATCCGAGCGCCCTATGATGGTGGGAAAATCCTAGAGTAGGTCTTGGCTCGGCATGAGATGTGACCTAGATCCTTGTGAGCGTGGAAAGGCTGTTGAATGTGCAAGCTTGCGTTGCGAAGCTGGAGGATGGCAGGAAAAGTCGGCTGCAGCCTCGTGGGGAACGTGGGTGAAGGTTGTGAAGCAAACAACCAACCAATGGACCGGGCCGGGCACAAGGCTAGACAAAAGTGCTGCAGAGGGGTCAATTGGTCAATTGGTTTGGCCGCCCCGCCCAAGCTCTGTCTCGACGTGTGGGGCTCGCAAGCTTCAACATCGAAGTTGACAGCTCCAGCAATTAGAGTAGAAGTAGAGGCAGTTCAGCATCGTCACTGTCTTCGACATTGCACCTTCTCTCGGAGTTTGACGGCTCGCTGTAAGGACACCATGGGATCTGGTAACTTCACAGACTTGGGCAGACGAGGACTCATTGGGACTTTCCGCAGCTTCATTCGCCCCACGTACAATACTGTTGTTAAGAAAATGGTGTGAAGTACAGGCGCTTGCGCTTCCCATAATTGCCAACATTGAATGCCAATACGGAGTACGGAGTACGGACTTGTCCTGGCGAACCATGCCAGTGGCTGCATTACTTGACCAAGCACGAGATATCACATCATCCTCGATTCAATGGACCGAACAGCCAGTACAGAGTAACGGACTGCCCGTACAAGGAAGCGATCTGCACGAGAAATATCGTCGGATGTTGAGGCCGAGCCCGGTGGTGGGAAGGAAAGTGTGGAGGCGGGAAAACTTCACAGTGCAACGCCATGTTGGCTGCAGGTCGCTTTTGCGGTCCAGCAATTGGACGGGGTGCTGGGAATAACAGGTTTGTTTGCATTTGTGGCGGGAATGGAACAGTTGAGAAGCATCATGAGCACGAAAAGCAACGTACATGCTACGGAGTACTGCATATGTATGTGACACACTGGGCTCTCCTCGCCGACGCTGGAACATTGAATGCTCGGCCCTGACATGTCTGGTGCCGTTGAGTCTTCCCTTAGCGTCTGGTTGGAGTGTTGGCGCCTGCCTCTATTGAGGTCTCTGCATATTGGTCCAGGTCCCTTCATGGTGCAATTGATTCTATGTCTGTACTCCGTCAATCCCCTGGGCTTGCACATCGACAGGTGCTCTCATCAGTGCCGCATTCTGCAATACTGCACTCCCAGCCTCCAGTTGGTACCACCGCGATTGACCACCGCGATTGACCACCGCGATTGACCTCAAGTGCTTGCGAAATACTGAGGCCCTGGCGATTTGCGCCCCACCCGTCAAGCCCATAGCGAATAAGACGCTGTCCATTAGCGCCCGTCCCGTGCAAGGTCGCTGTGGCTGCCCCGTAGCGTCTAGTCCTCGGCCGCTATCTGCCGAATCATTGTTCAGAACCCGGCCAGTAGCAGCTACCAACGGCCCCCAACATGGCGCCCACATCGCATCCCCACCCCAAAAACGTCGAATTGGTCCGTCTCATCTCGAACAATCACCGGCTTCCCTTCAGTCTTCCTGTCCCTCATGTCCCTAGTGGCCACATCCAGCCCTCCTTTGACCAATTGCTGCCAGACTCGGTAGGCTGTTGGATGGCACTTTATCATATTGGTGGTGGCCCCGATATCTTTGGCTGACCATCATAATGCGGCTGCGGGCTATTCCCGACGACGGGCAAGATTGAACTCGACTCGATGGCAATAGCAAGTACGCCATCACCTTCCACCAGCCTACTCTGTACGGAGTACATATCATTAGCACAATACCTTTTGACTGCTGACGAATTCTTGAGAACCTACCGAGTACCAGCCACACGCTCTCCGCCGGAACATTCGATCCCATTCCCCGCCTGCCATGTTGCGTGGCCCAAGCTCGGTCGGGTGACGATGCATGTCACGCAGTCTCACTCCCACCGCATCGCGCGTCAACCTATCCAGTCCCTGTCATCTTCTATGTGACCATCCGCCGCCATTGGCGTTGCCCATATCTTGAACCAGCCAATCTCGTGCCATGATCTACCGCCAGGCCCTTGCGAATGAGGGTGGCCACGGACCTTTTTACACAGCAGCTACGGATTAGTCCGCCCATCCCCATCGCCTATCCCAACTCACCAGCTTTAGTTGCCATCGACAGCTCTTCTACTCAATACCATGGCCTCAGTCGCTCACTCCTCCAAATGTGCCAGAGCATTCATCTTGCATAAATTCTCCACCGTTTGAATGCGAGGGAGTTCTTTCTGCACTTGATCCATGTGTGTCGCAGTGGCCGTTGGCCGATATCACATCGATTTGTGATTTATATCCCGGCACCCTGCCGCCATTTTCTTTCAGACTCCACTGCCTCAAATTTCCTATTCCCGGTTCTTGTTTTGCTACAACATATCCCCCATCTCCCTTCTGTCTCTATCGAAATTCGTTACTGCGACAAATGGGACCCGAGAGCCCATCAACTGCCTCCTGTGTTGTGTAAGCCGAGTTCATGAGCGTCTGTTCAAACGCCAGCGCACCCACTACTGTCGCAACAAATGGCGAGAGCCTCAGCTCTACCCTTATGTTGATTTGAATATACTACCACAAGTCTGCGCTCTGTCGCTGATCTTGTTTCACCTGTTGCCTTTTAAAAGATACCCGATTAGGAGCTTCATTCGCCGGTCGAAATGGCTCCGAGCTTCCAGACTATATCAATCCGAGATGCGGCCGCCCAGGTCGGCCGTTCCTTGTCGCACCTTACTAAGCGCATCAAGATTCCTTTGACGCCTACGAGCCCGCCGGGGCTGTTGCAGGCGAATGCCGTTGATCCCTGGAGCCAGTCTGGTAAATATGGATTAGGATGGACGTACTTCGCCCTCAGTTTAATGGGATGTGTCCTCATAGTTCGTATTTGGCATTACTGGCAAGACAAAATTCGCCAAGCCATTTATAAGCAAGAGGTTGAAGACCATTACCGAAACCTATATAGCATCGAGGCCGACTATGCCATGGCCGTACAAACGGGCCAGTCACAGCAGTTTTTCCCCGACGGGCCCGGCCTGGGAAACAGACAATTCCGGCCGAAGGCTCATTTCTCGTCCGTCGGTATCGTCAACGATACTCTAGCTCTGTTCCGATGGGTCTTCTACCGGCCCATTCCAGACATTGTATGGGGAAAGAATCGCTTTACATTTTCATCTCTAGCCGTGTTAGCTTGCGGCTTCATTGCCCTCATCTTTGTCACCCTGTACTGCTTTCTTCAACAGCCGTTGTATTGGGATAGCATCCGCTTCGGCTCACCACCGGTGGCTATCCGATCAGGGATGCTCGCAGTCGCCATGACACCATGGATCATCATTACTAGTATGAAGGCAAATATCCTTACCCTAATCATTGGCATTGGGCCAGAACGTCTCAATGTGTTCCATCGTTGGCTGGGGTATCTATGCCTGTTCCTGTCGGTCGTTCACATGGTCCCTTTCTACATTCAGCCTGTCTGGAAGGATGACGGCATGACTGTCTTCAACCAGCTATTCCCCGACGGCAGCGGCATGATATATGGGACGGGAATTGCCTGCATTGTACCGTTGATTTGGCTTTGTGTGGCGTCACTTCCTTGGATCCGACGAGTTGCGTACGAAATGTTTGTCATTCTTCATGTGCCAGCTGGCGTTGTATATGTTGGCCTCTTGTTCTGGCACACGAAAAATGCCCTCTTGACTTGGGATTACCTCTATGCCACCATTGTCATCTGGGTGTTTGCCTATTTTATGCGTGTTTTTAAACTCAACTGGTTGAAGCCATGGCGCAACGCCTTCCTGGTTGGCGACGAGGCTGCTGTCACTCTCATGTCCGAAAACGCAATCAAAATTACGATCCCTACCCAGATGAGATGGAGGCCTGGTCAATACGTGTACCTCAGAATGCCCGGCATATCTGTTCTGGATAATCATCCATTTACCATTTCATCTCTTTGCAGCGAGGACTTTCCATCCGAGTACGGCGAGAATTATCGCGATTGCGTTCTTGTTTTCAAGCCATTCAAGGGATTCACACGGAAGGTTCTGGATACAGCCATTGCCAAAGGACCCTTTCACACGTACAGAGCCTTCTTGGATGGGCCCTACGGCGGCATGCGCAGGGACCTGGCGGCCTTTGACACCTGCATTCTCATCGCGGGTGGCAGTGGGATAACTTCATTAATGTCGCAGCTCCTCAACCTCATTAAGCGCATGCGCGATGGCAAAGCTATCACGAGAAAAGTGGTGGTCGTTTGGGCATTCAAGAGATTCGAGGCTATGGATTGGTTCCGAGAAGAACTCCGGATTTGTCGGGAAGCAGCACCCCCGGAGAGTGTAACTTGCAAGTTTTTTATTACCGGAGCCGTTCGCCACCGAGATGCTGGCCAAATGACCGCTCCTATTAATGGGCAAAACCCTCGAGCCCTCAACCATATGTTACACGACAAGTTGGACGGATTCGTGGCTGGTATTGCTTCCAAGCGTAACTCGGCTCTGATCCAAGCCGAGGCCGAGGGTGATCCTGAGAGGGAACGTGAACTCCGTGAGGAGAATCAGGATCGCATCACTGCTCTCCCCCAGCAAAAGTACCTTCAACCACACCAGTATCCTCCTCCTCCCCCAGGGCCACCCTCGAGTCGCCTCGGACCTAATGGGTACCCTGAAGATAAGAAGCTCGAAGACGACGATGTCAAACAACCCGAAGAATTCCACTTCCCGTCTCTTCATAAAGAAAATCCTCCTCACTTCAACTACGCTCCCCCAAATCCCAGTAAGCCTGCTCTCAGTATCCCAGAGCCCCAAGAGCCATATCCTGTGCGAGCTCCCGAACTCGCGCACTTACGGCAACCTGCCAATCCAGAGAATGCCAAGCAACGACCGACGTCTACTATTGGCCCGCCGGCCGGGTTCGACTTTGGTTTCCCAGAAACACCGACCGAATTCCAAAAGAATTTGATGAGATCGGCTTTCCCTATTCCACATGAAATCGACGGCGGGTGGTCAATGGAGTACGGCCGGCCTGATCTGGGCTACATGCTCAAGGAGTGGGCAACGGGCGGCGTGGATGGACGGGGCATTCTGGGCAGAAGAACAGCCGTGTTTGTTTGCGGGCCTCCCTCAATGAGAGTTGGAGTCGCAAACACAGTGGCGATGTTGCAGGCAGAGATTTGGGGAGATGACGAGCTGGAGGAAATCTTTCTCCACGCTGAGAACTATGCCTTGTAAAACGGGGCAGTGTGCATGGTAGCAATGCCATGATGAGGCCAAATGTGAGTGTATATAGAACTCGGGCGTAATGTTTTGACGATTTAGTTTACATGCGTGTTGGAAGCGTACATGCAATGCTTGACATGATTACTGTACGTACCTAGGTACTTTCTAATGAGTCAATGTACCTGCCTGGTTCCAAAGTTCCATTTCTCGTGCCTCCGCGCAGTCCTGCACTCTCTCATGGCCGTCCTCTTCGCTATTGACGTTGCAATACCTCCACGCGCACAGACAAACGCCGTCAGAAGCGCAGTTCTTTCTGGCCCTCTGCTCCGCGTCCGGGCACTGATGGAATGCAAGATGACCGCCTCTGTGGTAGTTTTGGAGGCAATACGTGGCCACAGATAGACAAGAGTTATGCGTCTTTTGACGTGTAGCGCGCACGCGCATCTTGCATGAGTTTGCAGTCTGAAAAATGCCGTAGATGGCCAACTTCGCGAGTCATATCGACACTCTCGGTCAATGCCCTGCCAGGCATGAATTTGGTCACCCAAGGGCAATGGCCAACGTTTGCATCTTCCAATATGCGTATCCCGCGGAAGATGGCAGCAGGTTCAGGGCTTTCGGCCTTTGACATGATTTACACGGGTGAGTATATTGAGAGCATAAGCAAGACTAAAGAGTGCGCCTAACCCTATTCTATATATACTCGAGACAAATCGTCTCCACTTCCAAGTTCCAACAATCGCATCCCAAGTCAAAAGAGTGCCTGTCTACCTGCGGATTACAAACCACCCCATGCATCACATCATCCCTCCATCGATACGCACAAAGGCAGTCTCTTTGAAAAATGGGCAAGACCTGCAAGCGGATCCTCCCAATGCCAAAGGGCCGCTGACGCTACTTGGCGTCGCATGGGCACCTTGATGGGTAGAGCATCATGGTCTCGTGGGAACCTTTATCGACAGTTTGGCGACGATATCTTCTTCTTGTCTCTATTTTTTCTCTCTTTTACTTTATTTTCCTCTACTATTCCCTCAATCTCTGTAGTTTCCATGCTTTCAATTTTCGACTCGGATTTGTGCCTCAACATACAAGCATATACGTGCGACCAAACCTCAAACATGTGCCCGGAACGAGACATTGAAAAGATCGCCAAAGGCTGGACAATTGCCATGCTCTATTCCAAGGAGCGCTTAAAACGAATCTATGACTGGGGCAATGACCAGTTGGAAGAAGCTGCCAAGGGTGGCATACTGGTTCTGGAGACCGTGTGCTTATTTGTGCATGCTTGCGTCAAGCATGGTCAATACCAGTACGTTGAGCCTTCTTTGCCCAATTCTCCCCCTTGGCTATCGCCGCTGTGGTTTGATGGGCGCTAATTCTATCCAGACTGCCATTCGAGTTTTGGAAAGTCCTGCATGCCGAGTACGGCATTGTCGTATACCCCTCCGCTTTGACGGAGGATATCGACGTGCAGGGCTTAGGCGTCGATGTGACATTTATGGATGCTTATGGCGGGCATATCGGTTAGTTCTTCATTTCTTGCAAACAACCCGCTCTTTCTCGCTGGCTAACATTTTACAGTCATGTACGGCCGATGTTGCGGCTCGGACCCGCCCCCGTGTCCGATGGAGTTTCTCAGAGAACCGCCGCCAGTGTACTCCAAGTAACAGCAAACATGAATAGACTTATTTGGGCCAAGAAGATGAATTACGCTGAAATGCGTCATATGATGAAGACGGCGTTTATGGGTGAAGAGTGCTTTGCGCTGGTGGCGAGGACGCGACAAAATGCATTTTAGGTGGCACAGCATCAATTTAGTACGGAGTCATGACATTTATACAGAAAAAGGAAATTGTAGATCATGATTTCACCTTCTCGCCGATCGCTCCGTCTCTGTTCGCCCTCCAGACACCTTCCTCGCCATCAAACTCTTCCCTCTTCCACACCTCAACCTTTGACTTGCACTCCTCCAAAGCTTCCTCCCCGGCCCGCCACGCTGCTTGTCTATGCGGCGACGATACCGCAATCAAGATGCTCTCTTCGCCGATGGGTACGGTGCCCAGACGGTGGATCATAGCTATGCCCTTGAGGCCGTGCTTGTTTATTAAGTCCTTGGTAATAGCCAGCATCGTCCTTAGGGCGAGTTTGTTATACGCTGTATATGTGAGTTCTTTGACGGGTTTGCCGGCAAAGCTGTCTCTTGTGGTTCCTGAATCAAGGTCAGGCCGTGAGTTTTTGTGGTGAAGGTGCTGAGTGAGCATACCCGCGAAGAGGACTATGGCGCCGGCCGCTGGGCTGCGGACGCGGTCCATTATGGTTTGGACATTGAGGTGGTCTCTTGTTAGGGCAACATAGCAGCCCTCCGATGAAAGTTCCCATACATCTTCGTCTTGCGATGCCATTACGATGGTGGTTTGGGTTGTGAATAGAAGGAGTGGGCAGCGGGGATCTCCGAGAATGAAGGCGGTTAGAGCCCAGATGTGTGGGAATGTTGCCAAACTACCCCGTGAAGTATTAAACCAGGAAATAGTGCAAAAACATTCCAAAATTCGCTTTCTGAACCAAATCTTGAGAAAGTTGAAACAAAACCAAGCAACAAAGAATCTATCCCCTCTGTTGCTTCGGAAGGTTGTGAACAAACAGGGTAAGTTCAAAGTTGTTGACGTCGATGGATGACTAAGATCTTCAACGGGCCACACACACACCAATCGGACCCTTGAAACTTAGTTCCAAGCTGCTATCCACCACAACAGACACCACTACTTCGTTGCTGATTTTTGTTTCTCCCTTGTTGCATCTTCGCGCCAAGTATCATGCACATCGGCGTCATGCGCGACGATTATCACGGACGATCCCCCGACCGAGGGCGGCATCGAAACGACCCCGACAACATGGGAGCCTCGCGAGGCAGAGGCAGAGACCGAGAGGGCCAAGACCGGCTGGACGACCATTACCGATCGCGTCATGGTAAAGACATGATCCGCGCCTTGTGTGGAGACTGATACAGCCTTCAAGCCTCTTGTCATGGAGCTTTTTGTATTAAGACTAGACAAGTTTTGTTCGCTAACTTACCCACGGGGCGTCGAGACTATTCCAGGTCTCCTCCAAGGCACAACTTCTACGACGACCAACGGGAGAAGGCACCACAACGTCATCACCCAGACCTGGGCGGCGAAAGGGATTATGATTACCGCTACGATGGCCCAGATGATGAGTATAGAAGACGAGACCGGAGCCCCCGTCATCGATCAAGACATTTGGATGATCGGGGTCATTCATACGAGGACATGTACGACGATGGGAACCGTGATGAAGGCAGGCAGCGGGGACGGTATGACGATGACGAGCCCAGAGACGGCGGCGAGTATGCTCACCATGATGGTCGTAGAGGGAGATCCCGTAGCCCTTACGGCAGACATTACAGAAGTCGGTCCCGGAGCAGGCCGCGAGATGCTGGGAAACCCACAGACACGGTAATCCTCGAGGGACTGCCGTATAGTATATCGTCTGCAGAGGTGTGTGAGAGCGACTGTTGCTTGCGGGCAATTCATACTGGCCAGCTGAAACTGATGGTGGTTGATAGGTTCGCGACAGCCTTCTTGCCAACTCGATTGCGGCTGAATTTCCGTCCATTGATGTGAGACTTTCATCTTCAAGAGGTCAGTCCAGTGGCGGGTGGTTTTTCCGACGGACGTTCGACTCATACCATGAGCAGGAAACCGACGAGCATTTGTTCAGTTTGAAGACGTGGATCAAGCAACTGCTTTCGTTGAAGAGCATTTCCCCAAAATCCGCATTGAACTCCAGCATCCGACTGATGACGCACCAGACGGCAAGTTTGAAGCATATGTTCACTATGCCCGCAATCGCGATGACGGTGACACCCGGCAGATTCGAGCCGCCGACTGGATTTGCCCACAAGTGCGTATTTTGTTTGCAAATCCATGCGGGGAAAAGATCGGCTGACCTCTTTAGTGTGACTTTTTGAACTTTTCTACGAGAACAAGGTGCAAAATATGCGGCACTCAGCCAGCGGGTAAGAATGAGCGATCCGTTACGCGGACGCGACCCATAAGCTAACTGGTATCGAAGCGACCAACTGGGAACAAAGCCTCACAGGTGCGGCCGATGTCGCTGACCGTGCTGAGGCCGTGTCGCAAATATTGGTGGTGTATCCGTTGGCATCATTCGTGACTGAAGACATGCTCGCGAAAGACCTCAAACTCCTCGAAAAGTCAGAAGAACCAAAAAGCTCGACCAACGGGCCAACCAAGTTAAAGTCAACCGCCCCGGGAGCCGATGTCTCTCGCTACGGTGCGAAGCCGGGGTCATTGCACCGCGTGTTTCTCATACGCGAGGTGACCTCGGGGGAGAGCTTTAAATACGGCTTTGCCGAGTTCTGGACCCTTGAGGATGCAGCCGCGGCGGTGACAAAGTTTCGCATGTCTCGCTCGTTCACTGTTGCCGGCTGTGCTGTTACCGTTGCTCCAACACACATGGGCGTATTTCTACCCGAGGAGCGCGAAATCGCGCCGAATATCGAACACATGTCGTTTAATCCGCTCTTCAACCCCTCTCTCCGAGTACGATATCGGGACATGCACGTATTTCCAAGCCAGCTAGTAGTCACATCCGAAGCACCCGCCGACGTCAACCTCAACGCCGCCAAATCTACCGAGGACGAACAGGGCGACAAGAAGCAGAAGAAGCGCAAAGCAGAAGGGAGCTTAGCCACGTCCGCGGCCAAAAAGTCGGTCCCCATGGCAGGCCAAATGGCAGTATGGCAGAGGAAACACGACGAGCTCCGCGGCGTCGAAGAAGGCGGCGACGCCTCCAACGGCCAACCCGACTCAACCACCAAATCGGCGCCGATCAAGATTTCACTGTCAAACTCTACAAAACTCGGGGCTCCCTCAGCCCCCCCAACGTCCGCAAGACACCCATCGCCACGCGCGAAATCGCCCACTGCCCAGGCAACCCCACCACCAAGCTCACCGCAGCACGCACCGGAAAGCACCACCCCGAAAGAAGAGACGTACATGGACAGAGAAAGACTCATGTGCCTCATCTGCATGCGCAAGTACAAGTCCATCGACGAAGTCAACATTCACGAAAAGTCGCGGAACCACAGATCCGCCATGGAAGACAGCGAGAAAGTCAAGGCGGCCCTCCCGCGACTCGCGACGCGCGACAAACGGCAGAAACAGGATGCCCAAGTAACCCAGTATCGCGACAGGGCCAAGGAACGGCGCGACATTTACAACCAGCCCAACAGGCCCTCTCAGGCCCCCAAGCCCAAGACTGAATCGAAGAAACCAGCCGAGGAAGCAAAGCCCGCGGTCAAGGCTGCATCCAAAGGAGCAGGGATGCTTGCCAAGATGGGCTGGACAACAGGTGTAGGCTTGGGGGCGAATAACGACGGCCGCACAGAGGCGATTGCTACGAATGCGTACCAAGAAGGCGTGGGGTTGGGTGCCGAGGGGAGTAACTTGGGCGATGCGGCAGAGTTGGCGGAACGCAAGACCAAGGGCTCTTACTCGGATTATTTGACTACGGTGCAGGATAAGGCGAGGGAGCGGTATAATCAGATGAACTGATGTTGTTCAATAGTGTACAAGTGGCAAAATCAGGCACAGTCTGGCAGAATATATTTGCCCATTGAGAAGCATTCGCTTGCACTGGCGTGAGCTGTGAGCTGTGGCATGTTTTGTTGTAGAGTGCGATGCCTTGATCTGGTTGTATATTTGCCTCCAGTCTCCTTTGCATCTCCCGGCCGCAAGGTCAAACGTCTCGCACAGCATTTGCCACACACCCACCGCGTTTAGGGCCTGATGGGAGCAGGTGTTTCTGGGAATTCAAGACAAGGCTGCCATCTGTCCCGGCTGCTTGTTTTGGGCAAGGTGGAATGGTCAGCCGCCCAAAGCGGGCCGCATCCTCTTCCTGGCGCTGTTGAGGCTCAAGCTGACTACGTACATGCTAGTAGTACTCCGTATTAAAATGAAAAAACGCCGAATGGAGCAACGGCCGAGCCGCCAGGAGATGAGCATTGAGTCATCACCCTGGAACCCAGGTCAGGCAGTTCCTAGGCAGGCAAATCGGCGGCTGCTCGATGCAGGTAAGCCGCATTAATTAAGTACTACGGAGTACGGAGTACAGTGGAGGACTCGGCCAAGGCACAAGGAAGGCAGGTGGTAGGGCTGTGCATCCCCAGTTGCATGGGGCCCGCTGCCACTTTTTGCCTCCACAGGATGGAGCCCAGGCCCGGACCCGCGGCGGCTGGGATGACGTGAAAGGGAGGGGTTCGTCCTTTTCCATTTATTCAATTCATTCTTTATTTGCACGGAAACGCAAACGCCTTGCACTTGGACAGCGAGCCACAGCCACCCCAGCTGCGCCATATATTGGCCGCCGTTGTCCACCCGGCAGCTGACAGCTGGTGGCCACAGCGGTGGTGTGGCTAGTGCTCCGCCCGTAAGCCAGCGCGATGACGACTAGTGCCATGACATGCAGATCTGCGTGGCTCAGCTCTTTTTTTGGGTCTGCAGTCGGATGGGTCATTGTAGTACGTTATTTATTTCCGCGAGGCATGGATCGGTCGCCACCACCGTTTGTCCGCCCAGTACGGAGTACTAGGTGCTCCTGGGGCGGGGGCTGAGCTACGTAATCTATTTATTCATCAGCCGCATGATGCGGCTGCTTCATCGGCCGGCTGGGGTTGATACATGCTACTTATATGCGTCGCGGCCCAGCGGTTTGGGGAGCTGGTGTCGTTTCTGTGCCTGCAAGCTAAGCACCACCTCTCCCCCGGCCTGCCAGAGAGACGAATTGACTTCACGATGCCCTCACTCCACCACGTGGCGCTTGTGCTGGGCGCCGTTGCAACGGTTTCCGCGGGCACGCTCTCGGTTCCTCTCGAACGGCGAGGCCCCAGCGAGGAGCACTACCGGCTGCTTGGCCGGGCGATTTCCCGTCGTGCCGCTGACAACGGGACCGCCGAGCTGACGGCCCTGAACAACATCACCGCCGCCGGCTACTATGCCAACTTTGCCATTGGCACGCCGGGCCAGAATCTTACTTTCCAGCTCGACACGGGCAGCAGCGATACCTGGATGAACTCGCCCCAGACGCGGTACTGCAGGAGCGCCACGGCGCAGTCGGAGGCGGGCTATTGCACCACCACTTGTACGTCCGCCCAGGAATGAGCATGTATGAACCGCCGTGTTCGACATTGTGGTTATTTTATTTTTTGGTGCGCCCGTCAAGCCCGCGCAAGAAGGCTAACATTTGGTGGCCAGTCAACCCCCGAGACAGCAAGACGTACACGCTCGTCGACCAAGGCGGCTTCAACATCACCTACCTCGACCAGCGGCGCATCGCGGGCGATTACTTCAACGACACCGTCACCATTGGGGGCCATGAAATCGCCAACCAGCAGCTGGGCCTCGCCATCTCGTCCACCCGCCCCACGGGCATCATGGGCCTGGGCTTCAGCATCAACGTCGCCACGCCCAACAAGTACCCTACCATCATCGACAACATGGTCAGCGAGGGCGTCATTGCCCATCCAAGCTTCAGTTTGTACTTGGTGCGTTTGCCACAGCTGCTTGCCCGCAGAGGGCTTCGGCTTTGCTAACACGGCGTGCAGAACGACCTCGATGCCACGTCCGGCACCATCCTCTTCGGCGGCATCGACTCTGCCAAGTTCCTCGGCAGCCTGGCGACTCTCCCCATCAAGCCCATGCCCAACGCCGAGGACACCAACGTCACCTCGTATGCCGTGGCCATCAAGTCCGTCTCAGCCACGGGCGTCAAGGTCCCCTCCGTCGCTGCCCAGTCGGTCGGCATCCTGGACTCGGGCTCCACCATCTCTCTGATACCCGACTCCCTCGTCAAGCCCATCCAGGACAAGTTCGGCGTCATCGTGGTCCAGATCCAGGGCCAGGCCGCGCCCCCCATGATCGACTGTGCCTGGAAGGGCAGCAAGGGCGACGGCATCCTCATCAGCTTCGAGTTTGACAACAAGACAATCAAGGTCCCCATTGCCGACATGGCCATCGACAGCCTCCCCGACGAGCTGCAGCAGATCCTCAGGAGCAGCGATGCGCCCTCTGGCTTCAGGAGCTGGACCCGCGCCTGTCTCTTTGGCCTGGGGGGCTCGTCGGCGTTTGGCGTCCGCGACGACCAGTTCTACCTGCTGGGCGACACCTTCCTGCGCTCCGCCTACGTCGCCTACGACATGGCCAACCAGCAGATCGGCCTGGCCCAGTCCAACCCCAACGCCACCGGCTCCAACGTGGTCGAGATACAAAAGGATGCCAAGTCCTTCCCCAACGTCCAGGGCTCTGACGGTTCGTATCCCCCGCACACGCTCGGCCCAACGTCCATGTCGATACTAACACATGACCAGCGCCTGGACCGGGAGAGAAGGCCAGTGCCTCTGGCCGCCTTGCTCCCTCCTCCTCCGTTGCCGCTACTCTCCTCCTGGGCGTGGCTGTCGTTTTCTCAGCCTTGTTGTAAATTGGGGGAATTTTTGAACCTTGTAATGATTTATGTTTTGCATTCGGTACATGCATTCGTGCGTATGACGCGTTAAGGTTGGGGCAACGACATGGCGCTGATATATATTGCCATTTAGACCGTGGTCATTTTGGATACCCTCGTTGGAGCGCACGTCATTTTGTAGCTGGCGTTGTCGACAAACTCATCATGACTTGATTTCATAAACTACAGCGGGAGGCAGAACATAGCTAGAAGGGTAGCTGGATATCGCGCCCAGTAGTATAATGTAGTACATGCAGTAGTAGTGTATACTTTATCCGTACATCTACCGTCGACTGTCCCCTCTTGTCCTCCATTGAGAAGATGGACGGAATAGCTTTCGGATGGGTAGGTTGCCATGGAGAGGCTTGAGTTGGGCAACTGCCATCGAGAGAGTACAGCCTACTCAAGTACATTGCAATTGAACGACTGCATTGCACTTAAAGTAGATAGAATCATTTCGCAAAGAGACGTATATGAATTAAATTAGTAGCCGCAGGGTAAAATAGCAAGTTGGCACATACAAGTTATTGAGTTGGTTATGAGTACGAGGGTTATTGCTCGGGACCAGGGCACAGGGCTCTCTTGACTCCTTGTAAATAGTAGAGCTCTTGGGCCATCTGGCCTTGGGAGAACCAGGAACCTTTGATGCCAGGGACTCAATATTGAATTGATGGTATTACAGCTGAATTGAGTTATGGCTGCAAGACCCCACTGGGCCCTGTTCCATGGCTCACCTTGCTGCTTTACCGTTTCGATGTAATACACGAGGCTATTTTTACTTAAAAGATGATATACTTTTCAATAGTTGATTAGCAAAAACATAGCTTGCACCACTCACGTGCACTAGCATAAACCTCGTGAAATGCGCACGTGTGGTGTTCTTAATTGCTGTTCAAGCCGGCCGCAGGCCACAGCTCGCCGCAGGCGGCCCCCGGCAGGGATAATGAAATTAACATTAAGCACCAGACGGTTAAATGTCTTACCGGCGGTAGCCCAAGAGGCTTGAATTCAATCAATATTTCGTAGGCATCAGGGTCTTGTACAGAGGATTCATTTGCGACCTTGGCATTACGATACTATGACCTACATTTCATTTCAGGTGTAGCCACGGAGGACCGAGCAAGAGGCTCTGGTTTGTTACGGACTTGCCTGAGCACTGTCATCCCGGCGTGCAGGGGACAGAGAATGCTGTGTCTGGAGTACTAGTCCGCATTCACCGGACGAAAAGTAGTCCCAGCAATAAGTGTACACGACAGCTTCTTCCTGGGCCCTGACCATGCACCGCTCACAACGGACAGCGGTTCCGATAGACGCGTGACGAGCTCTAATTCGCCTTGTATTCTATGTAGTGCAACAGTGGCATCCAACTTGTGGACTCGGAGGGACTATACAAAAACTACACACCGCGGCCCTAGGAAAGTACATCAACAGGCCTCAGGCCTCACTTGACCGTGCCGTCATTCCTGGCCTGGTTTACAACTTGCTCTTGTCGGGCTCGTCCGGAGCCAGTCTTACAACGCCCTACGAGCAGGTCAGCTTCATTCACATCTCTCAGAGCACGACGCGGACTTGCCTCCTGCACACAGGTCGCCAGCAATGTCCCGTCCTTTGCAAATATACGCTGCGTCACGAAGCCGCGCCCGTCGCCGGACCAGGGGCTCTCCATGTCGGCAAACATCCACTCGTCCACCTTGACGCGCCCGGGCTCGTGGAAGTAAATGCTGTGATCCAGGCTCACCATCATGCCCAGCTTCGGGCGCGTCTTCCACTCCTCGACGGTCGACCCGAGGCCCTCAAACTCAGCCAGCTCCTTGACGTGCGGCTGGTACTCCTCCGCCATGCCGTCATAGTCTTCCGGCTTAAAGGGCAGTCTCCAGAGGCGGTGGACGCGCCCGACCGTGCCGATAAAGGTGCTGTCCGAGACGTACGCCAACGCGTTCAAATGCGCCTGGCGGCCACCGGCCTCTGAGATTTTGCCCCGGCACCGCATCCACTGCTGGCACCTCTGCTCGTCCGGCCGGGCCGTCGGGTCCGCGCCGCGCACAGCAGGCATGCGGTAGTTCTGGAAGGGTCCGCCCCTGGCCCATTCGGGCTCCTCTTGCCAGTCTAGAGGCGGAGGGGCCTTGGCCTCGTCCGGCATCGGGACGGCGTGGCGGACCGTCCTTTCGCCGCCCGCGTCTTCGCGGACGAAGCTAATCGTCGTCGTGAAGATGCAGCGCCCTCGCTGGCGCGCCTGGACGGTGCGCGTGGCGAACGAGCGGCCGTCACGGACCCGTTCGACGTGGAACAGGATAGGGATGCTCCCGGACCCAGCCAGGATGAAGTAGCAGTGGCACGAGTGCGGGTAGAAGTCGTCGGGGACCGTCTTTTGCGCCGAGGCAAGGCATTGCGCAATGACGGTGCCGCCGTAGACGCCTCTTGCGCCGGGAGGCACCCAGGCCCTGCGGGTGTTTGTGAAGATGTCCTAGGGTTGGGTCAACAGATCATTCCAAGAGAGGATACGGAGCGCAAGCGAGGCCAAGGGGGGGGAGGGAACACGTACGGGCCCTAAGACTCCAACCTCGGTCACCTCCAAGACGTTTTCGATCGGGGCCTTGTTCGGATCCGCAGGCGGCGGCCTCAACAGCGTTGACCGTTCCTCGGGAGCCATGGTATTCTTTGCTTCTTCCCTGTAGCGTACACCCCGAAAAGAAGAGTTGGCAGCAGCTCAGCTAGTATTTCCCCAATGCAACCGTGGGTGAATGCCCTCCCGCTTATGTGGGGATATAAGCGGCTGGAATACGGCTCCGGGGTAAAACTGGCTCAACCGCTCCGAGTCTGTACACGCGGCCAGCCGAGGCAAGAACGCGCAGCACGCAATGGCCAAACAAAGTCGCTCGTTGGGAGTGAAGCAAACCGAGAGAAGTGACGTTCGAGAAGCGGATGCAGGAATTAAGAATTAAGAATTGAAATCTCCAGGAAGGCGCGTCACTGGTGCAGGAGCAATGTCCCCATTCGGCCACGTCCCACGTCCGAGCCTCGGCTAACCCGCATCCTCCAACTTGTTTGGAGACTAGGATTAAAGTTGTCAATGTGACTCCTTCCCTTCCCTCACCCAGGAACACGGGATGCGACGCCCCAGCTCGCCCGTCAGGCCAATTGCCGTCCGTGCAATTTCTTTGCAATAAAGTGGGGCAGCATAGTACTGCATTACTCCGTACATGACCCAGTACCAAGAATGCGCCCGGGAATAAAAGTACCAAAAACATGATGGTCTTACAAACACCTCCAGTGTGCTTGCATACAGTGGCAGCAGCAGGATGGATTACCCAATACTCATGACACCCAACTGCAGGTGCCTTGTGATATAATTGAATATCCCCTATTATTGCCTATACACGGATCCTATTCATGACATGGTGCTTCATCATTATCATACATCACATCACCACCGCACTCAGTCTCACCCACCGTTCAATACGATTCAGAAGCAAAATCGAGAGACGACACATTGTGTCTTTATGTATTAAACGGATCAAGTCCAGCTTTGCACTGCCGTCCCAAGCGAATGGATAGATTGGTCCCCATACTCTTAGCCCCGGTGGCCCTCTTCGCTACCAAAACCGCAAACCACTGCAAAAAAGCAGCAAACTCATGCAATCGTGTAAAAAGCCTTGCCCCTGTCTATTGATTTGCATCCTCAAAAACTGGCTCCAGCCCTGCCCACGCATTTGGGTCTCCGTCAGGTCCGGCCTTTTCGCGTTGCTGCCAGTACTTGCCGTTGAACTTCCAATATGACTCCCCAGTGATCTCGCATGTTTCCTTGCTGAACCACGCCGGTACAAACTCCTCGCCCTTGGACTCACGTGTTCTGCGGCGCGCTCGCTGTGCCTCTTCGAGTCGATTCTTCTCTGTAGCGGCAAAGTCGTACTCGCCGTCCTCCATGGCACGCTGATCGGGGCGCAGACGAGAGTCGGTCGGTGCTATCCATGGCCTGAGCTTGTCGTCGATGTGGTTAAATGTCAGTACGAAAGGCGTCAAGTTGAATGGAATACCAGCAGGCCTCGGGTTAGCCTCCCAGATCAAGTACGCTCGGGTTGGATCATTCATGGCGCCCTTGTGTACAGGACCGGAATCCTTCAATTCGTCAATAGACGCCTCATACCCAGGCGTTAAACGAGCGTACAGCTTCGAGTTCCAACGTCCGCCCAGACTGACGCGGACATTGCCATCTGCATCCAGAACTTTGCCAGAAATCAGATACGCGCTCGACGCCTTCCATCCGCGAGCCTTGAAATCGAGGATGGCCACCTCCCCAGTCGTCCAATTCTTGATTTCCATCGGGCCGTAATTGTCTACCGTCGGGTTGCCGGTGATGATGCCAATGACCGACGAGGTGACCTTCTTCCACGTGTAAAGCTCCTCCTTTCCACCGGCAGTGGGTCTCAACCTCAGGAACCATGTGCCGAGAGGGTTGATGTCAAAGGATTTGCCATAAAACTTGGATCTTACGGCAGATTCGCCCCAGTATTCCCAGTTTGGCGATTCGGCCCATGCGGCACCAACAGGAGGATGGTGGCTAACTTGCTCGATAAAGAAGCGGTAGTTCTTGTCTGGTCTCACGTATTCGAATGTCTCGCCGAGCAACGGGTTGAATGGCTTGGCAACACGCCCGATTGTTGATGCATACTCGCTGGCAGCAAAAGCAGCAACGTATATTAAGCGTTCAATTGAATCGGCGCGCTCCGCAGCCAAGTCCAGCAGGTCAGCATACTCCATGTCTTCACCGCAGCGATAAAGCAGAGATGTGGGTTCGTTGAAGGATACAGGCAAAGTCATCTTGGTCATGTCCTTTCCAATCATGGACTTCAGGATGCCCTGTAAACTTTTTGTTAGTCTTTCGCGATCGTCAGTGGGCACGGAATCACGTTTACTCACCCAAAGTGAAATCTTGGGGCGATCATCGGCATCCATTTTGAGTCTGTGTCGGATACCGTTCTCGTAACCCCTAAATGAAGCGCTAATATCAATGCCGGAGACAATCACATCCTTCTGAGACTGGACAGTCTCCCCCTGTGGCATTTCAGCGACTTCAACTTCGCCGGCGTCTACTGCATCAAAGAATTCCTCTTCGTCGCCAGATTCGCTTTCTGACAGCTCACCCAGTTGGTCCAAAGCAGTCGGTCTGCGTCCAAGACTTCTGGTAGGAGATTTCGCGGCTGCTTCCACTTCTTCTTGCAGAGCTTCGGTTGTGGGTGTGCCAACACCGGAGACACCGCCGGCTTCCATGACCTCACGAAGGGCCTTCTTGGTCAGGCGACGCTTCTCCTCCGCCTCGCCCATCCGTGCCTCAAGTTCTTCGTGTTCGCGAGCAACCTGCTGCATGCTGTCTTCCCACATGCGGCGCAGGTTTGCCTCGCGATCTAGACGGTACTGCCAGTAAGCGTCTCTGTCCTTGGAAATTCGGAGCATATCACCAAGAAGCCCTGTCAAGCTGCGGATCGCCGCATCATAGGTAGACAGCGCCTGAGTTACATTTGTGTCAGACAGCGGTGTGGCAGGGCTTTGAGTGAGCTGTGCCATAAGGGCCGTGTGAACTCCAGACATGGTTTCCAGCTGGATCTTTGCGGACTGGGCTGTGATGTTGAGTGCATCCTTGGTCGCTTGTGGCGCATCGCGCACGCTCCTGTCATCACCAAAATCGTCGTCGTCGTCAATTTCGCCTGGGATGACTGGACCTCCGTTGCCATGTATGCGAGAGACGTCACCATCGGTGGCTGCATCTGCAAATTCATCATCGTCCAGACTGCCGATGGTGCTTGCTCGTGTCAAGTCAGCCTTTGAAGGCGTCATCCTATTATTCGACGTGGTCCGGCTTGGCAGTTGTGAAGTGCTGCGTTGTAGATCCGACAGGCTAGCATTCTCACTGGGTACCTCATGAAGTGAAAGTGAGCTCTGCTCAGCCTTGGCGATTTTGAGGAGCTCTGCGCTGCGGGCTGCCTGCCTTTCTTCCTCCTTTGCCTGATCCTTGGTCCACTGGACAGAGTTGTTGAGTGCCCAGAACCAGCGCTTGGCTTCGACCTCGTGGTTCGCCTTGAGAGTATATTTGACAGATGATTTGCCAATAATCTCGAACTTGGTCTTCTCGTCGGCACTCATATTCAACTTGGCAATCTTCATGTTGATTGCACCTCGGCATGCGGAACCAGCATCGTCTTGGTGCTTGTAGTAGCTGAGCACCCCATCCTCAAGCACAAACCATCTCAACTGATAGCCCTTGCGGTAATTGGTCCATTTTTTCAAATACCCCTTCATTTCTCGGGCCTCGCGCCCAGCCATCAAGTCAGTTGCGGCCGCGCCGCCCGCGCCCTGTGATGCTGCTTGGCCAAGAACGGCCTTCTCTTGAATACCTCTCTGAGCTGCAACGGCTGCAGGGGACTTTTTCAGGATAGCCTTGACATTGTCGTCATGAGTGATGGACTGCGGCAGTTTTCCCTTGCGATCACGGCGGAAAGGATCACCACCATGAAGCAGGAGAACCTGGATCAGTTGGGTGTTTTTCTTTCGTGCTGCCTCATGAAGCAAGGTTCCACCTGTTTGCACAGTAACTGGTTCCGAAGCAAACTCGGGGCCGTTAATGTCGACCACGGTCTTCAGGCGAGGCTCCTCAAGCACCTGCGCCAGGGTATCGTAGTCGCCATGAGCGATCAGCTCTTGTACCTGCTTCACCTTGGCCTCGGTGAATAGAGAACGCGATAGTTGGAGGATTTGAAAGATTTCTGGATTTCTGGCCAAGTCGAGCGGCAGCTTTCCGTGGTGGTTGACGACTGCGTCGTTGATGTCCTTTTGATCCAACAAGAGCTTCACAACAGGCGTCCGGCCCTGGATGGCAGCGATATGCAGCGGTGTGTTGCCGTCTTTGTCCCTGGCATTGACATCAACGCTACCGGCACTGTCCGACAGGGCATATTCGATGACGGGGAACTCGGCGCACTGAATGGCGAGGTGCAGAATAGTGGTGTCTTCGAGGGGACCGGTGCTGACGGTTGCGACCGAGGAAGTGCTGGGTCGGGGTGCATTCTCGGCCGTCTCGCGAATCGCCTTGGAGATGGAGGCTGTATCGCCACTTCTCAGGGCTTCCACGACCCTGAACTTGCGGACAGACTGCTCCAGGCTGGCACCTTGGCCTGGTATGGGCGCAGGCTTGGCTGCGGCGGTGGGCGATTGTGCAGACGGTATTCTGTTGAGCATGGTGGATGCGGTCGAAAGTCTCGAACTGTGTGCTCGGGTGGCCGACTGATGCGACAACGGGGTGCCAGAAGGTTTCGAGGTGGATTTTGGCGAGGCTGTCCCGGCGGCAGACCGACCGTCTTCTGAGCCGGACTCGTCTTCGCGGGTTTCTTTGCGACGAAGCAGGGAAAACGCCGCAGAGGACTTTGATCGCTTGTGCGTGCTATTCAAGGCGAAATAGAAGGAGCGCGTCAGCACGGAAACCAAGAATGCGTAGATTGGCTGGCTGTGGAGAATACTGTATGGGAGTGAGGTAGAGGCAGAGAGGTAGGAGGGGTGTTGGCGGTGGGGAGGAGCTAAAGGGGCGAGACGGCCAAGCCGAAGCAAGCATCAGGAGACGTCGCAATGCAGGCCGATCTTTGGAGGAGTGGGAGTAATATAGTAAAATTGAGATGCTGGCAAACGCAGGCAAAAGACAAATTGCATTGCCAAAATTGACACGGGTATGGGCTTACCTGTCTCCCGCTTCCGACATGGCAGCGTAAGTGGTGATGGTGATGGTGATGGTGTTGGTGGTGATGATGAGAAAGCGACGTCAACAAGCCACCACAGCCCAAGGCACTGCCACCTTGAGAGGGAAGGAGCTGCGGACGAGGGGCGGCCGAGGAGGGGAGGAGACAATAGGGAGGAGGGAGGGGGCCCGTCGACGGGTCCTGGAAAGGCTGTTGCCGCAAGATGGCTCGCTCAAGTGCGAATCGGAATAGGATTCAATAGGAGAGTTTCAAATTGCAATCCAAGGGCCAAGGCACCGACTGTCCTGCATCTGTGTGCTCCCATAGGCAAAAGGAGGATCCCAATCACGTCGGCGGCACAAAAAACAGGAACCGTACTCCGTACTCCGTACTTGACGATTCTTTGGAGCGCTCGAGGCTGCTCAGAGGTGGAGAACATATTCTGTCCAAGACATGACGTTGTCGGGGCCGAGAGGCAGCCAACCAGGGATTGCAGGGATCTGGGGAGATAAACAAGAGGCCCGTGGCTTTCACCATGCAACATTGAACCGTCTGGTCCGGCTCCTCCAGACCACATGCTTTGTCCAAGCACGTGTGTCAAACAACACCACAAAAGGCCATCATCGCAATGTCTATCCCTCCGTGAACCTGCCCGCCCACCTCGGTGTTTTCAATTCAATTCCCTTCTTTCCATTCCGTAACAAAAGGCCTTAAAGCCGTGAAAGAATGCACTGGCACTCTGCTTCTCGGCGACACATGCCCGGCCCCGTCTTTTTATTACTCAGACGATGATGACGACGACGACGCCGCCACAACCACGACATCTACCGGGCAGTAGCTGTCTTGTATACCTTTGCAAGTTGCCAACTTGGCCGCAGTCAAGTATCCCCAGGGCTTAAATTCGTCCCCAGTATGGGACTACCAGTCTCCAGCAGGTGCCTGGACGGCCCAGCTCCCTCAACGAAAACGATTGGGGCAATAGCGCATGGCAAGGCACACGAACAGGCTTCTGTTTCTGGGGATTCAACAACAGGGAATTCCATACGACTAGACTGGACGATCATGAAATAACGCCGTCGATCTGCGAAACGCGCCCGCGCAAATCGACTGTTACCTCCCAACCCGTCGACATGAATCATTTAGCCAAAAAGCATAAAGGACATGGCTCGCAAGAAATGACAGCATCAAGTTTTTGAATGTTTGCCAAAGCTCGATAACGCTTAAGATGAGCGCATCACCGCCCAGGTCTTGTCCACTACTTTGCATGAGTCCCCAGGTTTTCATCCATGTGAATGACTAGCATAATATTTATACATGCTACATATAAAGCCGGCCCATAAGTCATTTAAAGAGAGAAGATGAAAATCAGAAGTGGTCCATTAAGAATGACATTGAGAAAAAGAGTCCACGAGTCGCCTAGTCCGTAAGAAAATATAAATTGCCACACCAACTATGCACATCTAGAAGAAAGAACTATCCCGTCTACAGACATTCCCTCAACTTACAGGGCCAGAACCTGAGCGGCAACAATGGCGACGAGACCAGTCAGGCCGAGAGCCAGGGTAGAAGCACCGGCGGTCACGGGGGAGCTGGGGACAGCAGAAGGGCCGACGGAGGAGCTAGTCCAGGCGTTTGTAGGAATGGCAACGCCCGAACACTGAGGGCCAGTGCATCCAGAGCTGTGCTTGTTGGTCCAGCTGTTGGTGGGAATAGCGACACCAGGGCACTCGGGGCCGGTGCAGCCAGATCCGGGAGCGGTGGTGGGAATAGCGACACCAGGGCACTCGGGGCCGGTGCAGCCAGATCCGGGAGCGTTGGTGGCGCCAGGGCAGCTGGGACCGGAGCAACCCTTGCCAGAAGGCTGGGGAACAACGGCCGCAGAGCGGGTAGAGGTCGCGAGAGAGCTGGGCTGCTGGACCTTGACGGTCTTGCTGACCACCGTCGTCTTGGTGGCGGCGGACGAGGGAGCAGGGCCCGTAGGCTTGGGAACATTGCCAGTTTCGGTCTCCTTAACGGGGCAGACAGTAGTGTACGCGGGGATAACCTCTGTGGTGACGTGGCCGACGGGGCAATCTGTCACAGTAGGAGGGCACTTGGTGATAGTGTAAGTCTTGGTGGTATACACAGTGCTGGTGGTCATGGCAGGAACCTTGGTGGTCGTAGGCTTGGGAGGCTGAGCAGTCTCCGAGACAGGGCAGACGGTAGTGTACAAGGGGATGACCTTGGTGGTGACATGGCCGACAGGACAGTCTGTCACCGTAGGAGGGCATTCAGTGATGGTATAAGTCTTGGTGGTGTACACGGTGCTGGTGGTCATGACAGCAGCCTTGGTGGTCGTGGGCTTGGGAGGCTGAGCAGTCTCCGTGACAGGGCATACTGTGGTGTAGAGAGCGATAATCTCAGTCGTGACGTGGCCAACAGGGCAGTCAGTGACGGTAGGAGGGCATTCGGTCACGGTGTGGACGGAGGTGGTGTATACGGTGCTCGTGGTCATGGAGACAGGCTTGCTCGTAGTGATGGCAACAGGCTTGCTCGTAGTCTGGATAGTCCTGGTAGCGGTCGAGTTGGACCAGTGAATAGAGCTAGTCATACCAACACTAGATGTGGTTGCAGACTTGGTGGCGGAAGCAGTGGCGATAACACTGGTGGTATCCAGCTTCTTAGAGGTGGCGGAGCTTGAGGTAGGCTTGCCAGACGAGATAGAGCTTGTTGTGACATTACCGGACTGGATGCTAGAAGTCGTGAGCTTCGCGGAAGAGCTAGCAGAAGAAGTGCTGGTGGTTGCAGACTTCTCAGAGGCAGTGTTGCTGGTCGTGGGCTTCTCAGAAGAAGCGGAAGTCGTCTTGACCGTGGTGCTGCTGGTTGTAGAAGTAATCTTGGTCGATGTAGGCGCGGAAGAGGTCGTCTTGGGAGGCTCCCCGCATACATACTGGACGGCCTCGGCGGCACTCTGCAAGAAAGACTTACCCTCGGCACCGACATTGTTCATGGCCCGCGTGGCATCCCAGAGAGAGACACCGCCAAAGTTCTTGTGGTCGTGATATCTGCAAACAAGGTCCTTCATGGCCTCGTGATCGATGTAGCCGGAACCAGCAGAATCAGTTGAGGCGGGCAGGCCGATAAACAGCTTGGCGTTCTTGCTCTTGCCCGTGGCAACCTTTGCAGCCCACTCATCATACGAGAATTTGTCACCAGGAGTGTTGTTGGGGATAGAATCACACACAGGGTTGTTGTAGAACTGGATAAAGAGGGCGTCAAACTCGGCATTCGCGATCAATTCGTCGTTCTGGTTTCCAAACATGACACACTCAGGGGCGGCAGTGATGAACATTTTGTGGCTCTGCTGACGCCACCAGTTGACCATGGCAATATAGGGTCCGTTTTCTATCGTGTTCATGTTAGGATTATTTTTTTCTGTAAAGGGGCAAAAGAAAATGCAGTATTTGTGGAAGTCTTACTGAATTTGGGTGTCCTGTCCTCCAAGTCCAGATCGAAACCATCGACGGAAACGTGCGCGGTAGTGCTATCGAAGGGTCGAGGGCCCGTCCAGCTGCTCTTGTAAGGGCCGAAGGCATTATACAAGAACTCGGCGAACTCGACGCCCTTCTCCTCAGAAGACACAGCGTATTCACTTGTTCCTGGAATATGGGCGCCGCCAATGGCCAGCAAGACCTTGACGCCCTTTTTTTGGCAGTAAGGGATGTCTCTCTGGATGAAGCTGCAAGCACTGAGCAACTTGGTTTTCTTGCCGTCCGTATTGGTGTAGACCTCTCCGGCGCAGTTGGCACCGAAGTTGCTCCCGGGGTAACCATCGCCGTTCTCGGGCGAGTTGTTGATGAAAGAAACAGTGGCGTAGTTGACACCAGAGTCGCAAATATCACGCAGGAAACGACCACCAGTTTGACCCTATAAAGAATATGCAGGCATTAGCACGTTTTGCTGTGAGTGAGACAAGAGGAAAATGTCTTACATACCCAGTAGGCGTTCAAAGCTGGGGGGGCCGCACCGCCAACACCAAGACCTAATGACAAAGACATGACGATGACTTGTTATCCTAACTAAAGATTGTAATGTGGCCGAAGCCTAGTAAGGAGTGTAATGATACTGAGATCAAGGAAAGGACGCAAACAAATTGCTTGCAAGACGGCCAAGTACCGAGCCGTTCTCTGGGACTGACAAGAGACAGAGTTGAGAGCGAGAATCAAGAGTCGAGTCACAGGAGAAGAGGCGGCCGCTCCATTTTGTCTGCTTCCATTCATCCCCCAAGCCGTGGAGGCAACTGACGGTGTGGACTCGGGCACTTCCACTCTGGGCCGGGCGGCATAGCAGCTGGGTTCGATGCGATGAGGCTCATCCTTTGGAACAATCCCAAGGAGATCCATCGCTAAACATTCCGTGGATCAACTAGTATGAAGAGGTGGGGGAGGGAGTGCAATGTGCATGGGATACACACTCATTTCTCCAATCATCATGGCCTTCACGAGTGCCATAGACGAGGATTGGGCAAGGCAGCACCAATTAGGGCTGACGTGAAAGGCACCATAACGCTCTGTGATATTCAGGAACAGGCTTAGTTCCGTGCGTAAGTGTGGTGGCGTATCGTCGGCCATTGGATCAACCCGTTAACTCAGGTATAATGGACCACACCAATGCAACTAACCCTAGCCAGGGCCTCGGAACCATTGAATTATACCGTCCCAGCCAGTTTGGTTGTCCATTTTACACGTCTACAAGGCACGAATGCCACAGCTAAGCATTCCGTGCGGCTTTCCATTGTTGCGGAGGACAGTCCGACTCATGGAACGAGGCTGTAATATGTACAATACGTGTACATAATCTTACCTCCATGTAATAATACCTTGGTATAGCAAGCGTACTATGTTGTATATATGCATGTATAAGGCCGAGGAAACAATGAGTGGGGGAGGGAGACTTGATATTTGTTGCATACCTACCAACAACCTGCTCAGGATAAGATACTCCAAAAGTGCTCTTTGCCGGCAAAGTCTGCGCGTCACCAACGAAGCACGTTGTACTTGTTCCCATTCGTCAATTCAGAACCTTCAAGCAGATGTGTGCAGGATAGTGAAAATTCACACCATTCACATTTGTCGAGATGGCCATGAGCACTCTCGGCGATCGGGGCTGAGGGGCTGGAGCCGCTTTGGCAGGAGGACCGGGGAGCGTTGACGAGCAAGGGAAGAAATTTTGGCAGTTACCAGTGCAAATCCGGCAATCGCCGAAATGGTCGACTTCAGATAGCAAGGTACTGACTCCATCACCATGCGTCGTGAGGCGGCGTGGTGCCGCGCGTGTGTAGCTTGGTCTGTTGCTACCCCTGCCTGATAGTGTCAAGGATATGGCCTCGACCACCCGAATGCTCCGCTCTGACTTCCTTCACCAAAGCAAATGGTCGGGCAAGTCGGGGTCCCAGTCCTCTTTGGACTTGGCATGCAGAAAAATCCCGCCTCGCCAGGGGCTGACTGACACTAGTAGCGAAAAGGTGGAACACGGGAATCCATATCCATGTGGACTCGGCCTTGTACAATGTTGAACAGTCTCTTGCGTCCCAATGGCATTCGACCGAACACTAATAATAAATTGTTGTAATACAGTATAAAGAGTTGTTAGACTTTGATTCAAGGAGACTTATCACAAGAAGTACCAAAACTCCAGAAATCGTATTCGCGCTTAATCGCGTTTGTGGTAAGTTTGATTCTCAGGCTTCTGCTTGCAATCCCTACCGGTACGGGCGGGGCGGGAACACTTGCATACAACAACAATGTACCCCCCAGTACAACGTGGAGAAATACAGCGCGATGGATTCCTGCAAGCCTCAAATTGGATTGAATTGACTGTTGCGCGTTCCATGACCTTGCCCAAATCAGGTAGGGCAAGTAATTATGGTATTGTTGCTCCGGCGTTTGTGCCGCCCTCTGTTGATATAAGGGTATCCGAATCCCTCCATGAGTATCGAGTAACTTTAAAGGTGGCTGGTATTGTAACGACCGCTTCTATGCGAGGGTCTCTTGGCCAGCATGCAATTTCTTTCTGCATTGAGTTGAGGCTCAATTAACAAGCAATTTAGCCAACTACCCACGCCCACTCTGCTCATTGAACCAATTCCGGCGGTTACGCAATTCGTGGATTTCGCAGATGACTCATCAGGCCAAGTCGGGCACAGAAGACCCTGGGCACGGTTCTGCTCGTCTCGTGCTGACGACCCGGGGATGTTGTATTATTATTATTACTACCATTGCCGTTAATAAGTACTAATTTCGTACGGAGTAGCGCGGTTGCCAATGGAGCACATGAGAGAACCAAAAGGGGATGCCCGGTTTGCGTCATGCACGTATGTCCATAGTTGTAGTAACGTGAAGTCTCCATTTGGCTCGAACTTGTTCGGTCGTACGTACCCTCTGGTTGAATGAGAGCTTGTGAGCCGTTGCTTTTACATTGCTCCCTATCAGCTCGATTAGCCCTATGTACATGTCCATTAATATCATGGATCGATCACCCGACCGGCTTTGCCCATGACAAGGAAATCAGCAAGTCGGACAATCTCCACAATCACTTACCCACACAAACACAAAATATCCACCATCAACAACTGAGCTTGTTATGCGTGCCAAGTGAGCGGGCTCTGCGATCGCTGCCTTCCACATGAGTCTTGCCTCTTCTAAACAGAGTTTGATGTGCCCCTGATCCGGCTGTGGTATTATGTATTCTTGGTGAGTGGAGGCTCTTCTCACCGGGCCTTTCTTCAGCGATATCTCTTTGACTGCGGTTTGGCTTGTGGAGAGTCGCTTACCTAAGAAAATTGTATGACAGTGGAGTTCTCCACAAGCCAAATCGCAGTCAAAGAGATTGTCGAAAGATGCTCTCTGTAGGCTCTGGGATGTTGGACTGACTTCCAGCGGGGCCAACAGCGTCCTGCATGGATTATCGTTCTGGAACCGTGCGAGTTAATCTCATGCCTGGCCCATCCATTGTCAGCGATGGCCTGGGCTCAAGGCTTGATGATGTTGTCGTTGGGTTTGGGCCTGCGGCATGATCAAAAATCCACTGCTGCGTGTTGACTTCCCCTTGTGTGTCGGCGTTGGATTTTTTTTATTCCCAGTTCATGCGAAGAGCGACAGAGCGCCCACCCCAATTGTTCAACCTAGCACTCGTCATTGTCATATTCAGGAAACTTTTTGAATTCACTCTTTGCATTATTTCTTTGCTAAGAAACGGGTAGATAGCTTGGTATACAATTATCAGTCATACAGCACGCAAGGAAGGGGCTGTCCGTAAATGCAGCCTTGAAGCCTCCATAATATTAGAAGTGCAATTTGAAGGAAGGAGCGATAATGGGCTTCAACATTGGTGAACACTTGAAAGCACCTGTTCCTTATTTTCGCAAACCCCTAACAGCCCTTGTCTATTTAACATCTTAAGAAATTACTGAGAATTTTTTCTACTCTATAAGTCTTGCCCGTCGCAGAGATGCCTCACCTGGAACCGGACGTTGGTGATATAGTTCATATAGGGTAGGTCGATGTTCGAAGTGGACGTGTTACTGCAGCGTCAATGTCTTTCACCATTGACTACGTATGTGTGTCTACTTGATTGTACGATTGAGGTGTGTGGCTCTTGTTTTCCTTTTCTTTCCCCTTTTCTTCCTTTCTCTCCTTTCTCTCTCTCTCTCCTTTTTTTTAAAAATAAAAATAAAAAATAAAAAGGAGGCAAAAAGAAACAAAAACAGAATACTAAATTACTAAACTGTAAATCTCAACCCCATAATGCGGAACAGACAAGACACGCCGTTTGTTGCGCTTATCGAGATTCTCAACAAACTCGATGCGATTGACATTTATAGTACTCCATGTACCGTTTATTCACAGAGCAGGCGCTACACTTTGACACATGTATATTAAACTAATGCAAGAAAGAAATTTCACCCCAACAAAACATCTCAGACAAGCGGCTGCGTGCGCCGGCGAGTATCTCAAGCTTTCATTCGGCCCCGTGTGTGGGATTGCCGCTGACAGCTTACGACTTGGGTTATTTTTTTTTATCAACTGCCGTATAGCATCTAACTGCAGGGAGACGTATGGGAAGTGGGACATGGTTCTTGGATGTGCATCTTGGACTAGAGTTGTTGATTCCTTTATTAGATAGTCTCTCGCGTGCGATACTCTCACGTTGGCGCCGGCCGACGTGAAACCTATCTCGAGCCGGGAGCCGCAAAGCGTGAGGGACATGCATTTCGAACGTGCGTCTTGCATCTTGCGTCTTGCAACACGGCAGAGTCACTGCAGGTCTGACAAATGGTGAGCTTTTGACAAAAGCATAAAACAAAGATCTGCATCCTGCATTAGGGTATCATAGCTCCTACACTGTGCAGCAGCTTAAAAAAAAAACTCTGATATATGGTTTACTACTTGCCCAGTGCTGATCGTCAACGTGACATTTTTCACCTGTTGGACGAAAGCCTCGAACCCTAGATGGCCTCGTGCATAACAAAGGAGGAATCAGATGCCCAGGAAACTATGAATGAGCATAGAAAATCCCTGTTGCTCGAGTTACCGCCATGTTTTCTTTGTCGTCTTGAAATTTTTTGCTGTTTATCCAGGCGAGCCCCCATGGTTACATGTGGACAGTCCACATATCAGAGACAGAGTCTCATTCCATCCATGGCCCCGCGAAAGGCCAGCCGAGGTGCCACAACGGGATGGCCGATCTCCTATGAGATTTGCCGTGATAGCTCGTAGAAAAAAAATAAGGAAAAACCGCCAGAGATAGGTATGTGGTTCTGTTCGAAGGGCTTGAAACGAGGCGCGGCAGTCCCCTACAGAAGTCAACAGGATGAGAAGTTGGCAGGGAAATATGGGTGACATATCTGTGGAGAAGGAATACACATACTGCATCTAGGTATGGTAGTCTCTATCTGCAAATGCTTTACTCATCAATAACGTCTCGTTGCTACGCTATGCATGTTGATGGTGAACCGTCTCCTGACCTGCATTGCGGTTGCTGGCAAGATGAAAAGCAAACGACATGTTACCAGCGGCGGCTCGGCCGGAGGCGAAAGTGTCCGAGTAGACAACTGACAGCTCCATCCAGCTCACTGGCAACCAGTTCTTGAGCATTTTGCAGCATCTTGGACGAGTTGGCAATTCGCACGGAATGGTTCTGGCGTCTCGATCTGTGCTCGCGCTGCATGTCTCAGCCCCCCACACAAAAAGTTGACACAGCGTACACGTACGTCCCCGTACCGATCGGCTGGGAGCTGGCGGCGGGAGTCTAAGAAAGATGGAGGATGGGATGCCCCGTCAGCAGGAACTTGCTCTTCTTGGCGCCATTATAAGGTTCATGCGCTGGTACGCAAAAGATGCATTTTGTCAAATCTGAGTCGACGGCGAAGGCCCACACGACCAATGCCGCAGCAACTACGGAGTAGACACCTGAGAAACTGAACAAACATCGGATGAACGAGATGGCAGAGTCACGTTGGAGGGCTCTTTGTGGACAGGCAGAAATCTGGACCATTCAGCAAAAGCCGAGTCACAGTGACGAGTCGAATTCGTACACCGGAAATAGTTTCTTAGTCATGCGCGGGAGAAATGTTTGCCCTCGCCAGGTGGCAGACACGCCCAGTTCTTTTTTATGCATAGCGGAGCTATTATGCACCCTGCATCCCAGAATGGAACCTCCTTGCATCTTTGTGCAATCCTATTGGCCGGGCATAAACCCAAGGGAATATTATTATACAATAGTAGGCAATACAGGAGAGCGTTGGCAAAAACAAATCGTGTCGACCCTTACCTCCTCGCGACACAGGGAACCGACTAACTGTGAGAACCCTTTTGTCGGCGCGTGCCAACTGCCCGAAGGGTGCGAAGGGGTGATGCCTACACGTGGGCCATGGAACAAGGAAAAAAGAAAGAGTGGTGTTGCACCACCATGCAACGACATCCGACGACAACGCCATCCAGTCATGCGTCCCCAAAGTCATGATGCAGCATCGCCAATCCAGCTATGTGGCAACACCACCACAGCCACTGTTGGAAACCCAGATAGCGTCACTGACAAAGAAAATCCGCAGCATCCCGTACAAGACTTGGCAGTTTTCCAGCCTGCCTGTCCGCCCACGGCGCACCCGGGTCCCATGATGGGTGGCACGATACCAGGGCTCAGCCTACTCGGCGCTGAGCTACATACCAAGCAGCGGCGAGCTCTCGCTGCCCCAAGCGTCCGAAGTGCCTATGTACTATTCCCGCTGAATGGGACGAGTGAGGCATTGATTGGCAGCCAAGAAGGGTGCGTACGTTGCCGCGTTCCCTCTCCCCGTTCTCTCAACCCACATGTCTTCCCTCGCCGGCCTCCCAGCCCGCACGAGCCAGACCTGCTGGTTGTCCGGCACAGCACGGCGCAGAGAGACAGACACACGAATTTTGTTGTCTTGAAGGAGACCAAGGATCCCCTCCGGCCAGGAATGCCCTGCTACCCAAGGGCGCCTGCGATGGCAACGCTAACAAGACGATGTGGGTGTCTTCGCCCCACGACCTGTCTCAGCGCGTAGGGTTGGGAACTCTGGTCACCAGCCGGAAACCTGGGCTCTGTTGTATGTTTACCAAGAATTGCCAGGCATTATTTGTTTGCCGGCAACTAGACTGACTTGCGCTTCTAGCTATAATTCCCGTCCATGTCCAGCCACCTCGCTCTGCACCGTTCGAGGTTTAAGAATCTGTTTATATCCATGTCCCCTTCTCCGTTGTCAACCACGATAGCGGTTATATTTCATGTCGCTCAAGGGGACGTTAAACAAGCTCACTCAAAACAATATATGCTTCATCACTGTATCTGACGACACCGACACGCCAACGAGCCGTGTCTAGCTGCCTGCCATGGATCGATCCTCTGGCAAGCTGGTAGACCTCACTCTCGTATCGAAATACTACCCCGTGGCCAATTACTCATATCCTCGAAAGGATTCTACATCTCCCACTTCCCCAACCTTCCCCGTCAGCTCACGATACTCATCGAATAGCTCTTCCCGCGGAAGGGAGTCACTGGGCTCGGAGGGCTCCGCGCCGGGGCTGATAGAGGACCGAACTGATTCTGAGGTTTCGGTGGATGATGACTACCAGTATCATGCTCATACCGCCGAGTTGTGGGATAGCTTTTGGCCGCACCGCGAGAGCACCAAGAACAACTTCGATTCGTTCCCTGCCCCAAACAAGCAGTACCCGGCATTGTTACCTTCTCCCCGCGTGAAGAAGCAGTATACATGTCTTGGTGAACGGATACCATCATCATGGCCTTTGGTAACCGGCTCAGCGGCGCCGTCTCGTACACAAACAAGGAAAGCAGCCGCCACATATTCGCCGTTTCCAAAGCTGCCGTCTCCGCCTCCAACCAAAAACCTGCCACCCATTCCTGTACCAAAGGACAAGAAACCTTCAAGGCCGTCGACTTCAGGCGGCCGTACACCAGTGAGACCACCTCGACCCGCGGAGGCTCTCTTGGCCCCTTGTATGCAACACATTGCCTTTGTACCCGTCAGTAGCGCGGTGGCCGCCTACATCATCCAGGACCCAAGTCCAGTCTCGCCCACCGACTGTCGCAGGCCGAGAACGTCTTGCGGTCAACGTCCCAGAAATGCCGCGGACGAGGCATCTCTCAATCGTCGTTCTCACTGCACTATCTACTCCGTCATTTCCCACTCAGCAACCCACCTACCTGTCCCAGAAATCCGGCCCTCCCCGCCCCGTGCCCCTAGACACTTCAAGTCCCTCGCGGCGTTGCCTCGTGTCCAAACCGAGCAGCTCGCGCAGGAGCCTCACTCTGTTTTCGAAGATGACTCTGACTGTGAGGACGGACACTCGCGCAAGTTTTTCAGCTTCCACAAGCGCTCCGAGAGCACTTACAAGCGGAGAAGGAACCGGTCAAACACAACGCCAACGGCTCAGCAAAAATGCGCCGAGAAAAGTGACACCCCCTTTCTCTCATCTACATCTACGCACCAAAAGCGCCACGGACATGATGTGTTTGGACGTCTTCTCGGGCGGAGAAGTCGGTAACCGCACTCTAACGATTCACTGTAATGACTTGTTTTTTTTTGTACTGTAATGGCACCTCACGATGCATGGGCGGGAGTTTTGAATTGCTGAGTTGTTCCTTCATGTCACGATGTACCACGACCTATGAAAGTACCACAAAATTATGAAAGGACCGAAGTTTTATGTCTTTATTTCTCTTATGATATTTGTCTTTGACAATCTTTACGACTTTTTCCTTTGTTACTTATGCCTTTTTTATTTTATTTTTTTACGATTAGTGTATGTCAAACTTGGCGGGGTAGTAAAAACATGGTGTTGGATATGAGCCCTCGCGGGCTCCTGTAGTTTACAAAAAAAAAATGCCTTTATTATCGGATGAATGTGCGGCGTGTATGCCCCTGCAGGTGACTGGGGAAACAAACGAGTTCCCACGACGATGGGTGTTGCACGTGTTTGTTTATGCGTCTGCATTCCTTGGAAGTGCTGGTATGGAGGCTGGCGTGGCTGCGAGACATGCCAAACGTTTTCCCGCCGTCTTGGTCTTGGCGTTTTTGTCTGGTAAAGCGGCTTGCGAAGCCGACAGGGAAAAAGAAAAAAAAAGAAAAAGAAAAAGCGAACATGACGGAAATGTGTTTAATTACGTTGCAGGACGAAAAAGTTCTTTTTCGACTGTGCGCTGTGTTTCCGTAGCATAGAGAGGTATATTGGAACAGAAAAATTCACGCCGTGTTTTACATATGTACATACATCCCTATGCGGCTTGTCATTCACGTGCCGTCAAACATTCCAGTTGATCCATCCATCAGTCATTTCTTTCCACGCATGACGCCAAAATGCAAACCCGGCCAAGAAAGAAGGAACACCCACGATATTACAAGGAAGAAATGCCTGCAAAAAAAATAATAAAAAAAAATAAAACTCCGATGCCATGTTTTAAAAAATTCCGTGAAATCCATCACATCCGTAAAATCCGTTTCATTATATACCGTTTAATGTCGTCGATTTTCTGTCATCAGACCATGGAGGTCACAGAGCGTGTCATTGCCATTTTTTCAGTGTACCGCTTCATTCGCCGCACGCTGATGCGCTTCTCGTCGCGGCCCGCCAGGACGCCGAAGAACCAGACGCTCTCCTCGCGGGCGTCCTTGCGGCCGACGCCCAGCCGGGCGGCTAGGTCCTTCCTGGACCGGACGGAGCGGAAGGCGGGGTCCTCGTAGAGGTCCCGGGCGGTGCAGAAGCTGATGAGGGAGGCGACGGTGGTGACGCCGTGGGGGAGGTGGAACTGGCGGCGGCGGGGGACGAGGAGGGACGCGCAGCCGACGTAGAGGACGAGGAATGCGACGAGGACGCCGTAGACCGGCATGCTCGGGAACATGCGGACCTGCTGCGTCGGGGCCGTGAGGGCCATGAACAGGCCGCCCGCGAGGATGGGGATGAAGACGAAGAGCGTGGACATGAGGGATATGACGGCGACGCGCCAGTGGCCGTTGCGGAGGGCGCGCACCGGTGCGTGCAGGGGGAGGCAGGCGGCGTAGTCGGCGAGGATGGAGCGGCTTGCGACGGCGCCTTCGAGGGAGGCCATGTCGCCCCACGGTTGGAGAATGCGCAGCGCTTGGTCGAGGCTCTGGAACAGGAGGAACAGGACCATGCCCAGGGTGGCGGGCAGGAAGCTGTAGAGGAAGTTGGCTGCGGAGAAGGCTGCGTCATCTGGTCGTGCAGTGAGGAGAGGTGCGAACCCGGACTCGAGCCTTGTCTGGGGCAGGAAAGACACGATGAGGAGAGCTAGCAGCAGGCCGCTGGTCACAAGGATGAACGACACCAGTGGCACGTCTCTAAGGCACCATGGCAGATACGTGCCTCCTTCAAAGTCTAGCAGCGCAGAGGAAGCCGTCAGGTGGGACCCGACGGAGAGATTGTTGCTTCGACGTTCAGATCGCGGTTCTGCGCCAGTATCTGCGCCGCCGTCTGCCGGCACGGCCGATGTTCCGATCGTGTGCCAAACGCCCCCCGTCATGTCTCCATTCTGCCAGTATCCTAGCCGGTCGAACCACCGCTCCCGGAGTTCTGCCCTGTAGTCGCAGTTGCGCTCATAGAGGCCCTTGCGCCGGTAGCTGTTCATGGTGTTGGTGCGATGCAGCAGCGGGATCAGGTCTGCGATGGAGCGCGCATCCCAGAGAAGTCCGGTCCAGTGGCCAAACCAAAACGTCATTAATATGCAGGCAGCAACCAGGAGAATAGCATATAGGGCAACTGATACCCAGATCAAACCTTGCGTAGCTGACCATATCCACTGTCCCTGGCCGTCCACGTATATACATGTAAATGTCGCGCTCAGTAGTGGGAGGGTGAAGTTGGCAAGCCAAGTGGCTATGCCGAATGTTTTGAGCTGCCAGGGGCCTGAAAGCTGAGGAAGTAGAAAGGTTGTTGGGTACAGGCTCCGAAATAGGGCCAGATATCTTTTCTCGGGATCTTCCTCGGCCAAAGTGGCAAATGGTACAATGCGGAGGGATGCTGCCATAATGTTTTGAGCGTAGATGAGGACCACCCCGGCCAACAATTGAGGCAAGATACGAAACACAAAATATTGACCCGAATATATACTGCCGGGGTAGGGCGTCAATCCATCATTCTTTCGCGAATACACGGCGGAAAATATCAGTGCCGCCATCATGAGTGCGCATAAAGTCATTAACATTAACATGGAGAATGGTCGTAAAATTCGTGGCTTGAAAGTCAAAGGTGGATATGTACGGCCCCGGGGATCAATAGTCTGCAACATGTTTTTGTCCACCGGAATCCAGTGGTCCGTGGAAGACGGCTTTTGAGACAATGGAGCCGCCGTCGGTAGGGTTGGCTGAGGAATATATGAAAAACCTCGGTCTTGTGGCAGCTCAGGGGTGTCAAGCTGACATTGGTGTAAAAGAGGTGAATTGACCATTTCATGCGAGGACAACCGCTCACCTCGAGCAGACGCTGTCGGTGGAGCTGCGAATCTCTTGACCATGAACTTTGGGCTCCGTGGTTGATACCCTTCATTATACGTTTCCGAAGGAGGTGAAGGAATGGGTATTTGGCTGGCGGTGTTACTTTCTCTTTCGCGGGTCAACGCCTCCAGAGCGTATTGAATATACTGAGTGTCGTCGACGCCAGGAGTGACCTTTCCCGCAGCGAGAGCCAGTTCATCTTTCAAGCCGTCCATAGGGGCAGCATTGTCGGCAGCAAACATTGCCAGCTGAGCCTCGTCAAACCTAACCGCTTGGTTTGACATCAAAGCCCTTGTGTCCGGCTGTGGCTGTCGCCCTGACTGGAATGCACCGGAGAGCCCAAATAGCCGGTCTGGACCATACAGCTCTGGAGATGAGTGGGTAGGTGAGGCGGAAGAGGGTTGTTTCGGCAGAATGGACGGCTGTGGTGACAATGACCGCTGCGAGAACGACTGGCTTTGCCGATAGTCTAAACGCTTGTGGCTATCCTGAGAAAGACGCAGTCGACGAGCTGATTCCGAGCCGTCGCCGGTGGTGTGAACAGAAGGCACTATTTCTCGTGGCGGAAACCAATCTAGCAGAACACAACCATCAGTCAAGCCGTCAAGCTAGCGTTGGAGGCATTAAAAAAACCCGTAAGTAGATTAGGTGAAATCAAACTAAGAAACGGTGTGCGATCTCAACGTACGGGGAGCTTCCACATATTCAAAGTTTAGGTCTTGGAAGTTCATCGTGGAGGCATTCCAATGCAGGTCAGGTCCACTTGGGTATAGCGGCCAATTGAGGCATCTAAATGCAATGCAACATGAGAATACATGATGCAAGAGGAAATTAACACTGATATGGTTGGTCTTGGGAGAGTAAAATTCTTTTTTTCGACGAGGCTGGGAGAGCGTGAAGGCACCAATGATGAAACAGAAACGGCTTGAGCTCAGTATAGCTGGGCGTTTTCGATGTTGGGCATCCAGCCACCGGCCCCACGTCCGGAGTGGGTTTTGGGCGGGCTCTGAGCCCTCAGCGGCAAAGCGGACCAGACTAGCAGGCGGACGACTCCGCCTGCTGGAGAGACAATAGAGGGCTGAGAAAGAGACCAACGGCTTACCTGAGGCTTCAGACAACAAATTGTCCAAGTTCCGCCGCGAAGGGACGTCGTGAAGGGAGGAGAGTTGGGGATAGGGAGCCGAATGCAATTTTTTCCAAAAGTGTGGAAATGTGTGTGCGTACGATGGCGCTTAAAATGTCATCCGAGGAAGGAACACCCGGGCAATGAGACTGCTGTACATATGACCATGGACTCCGACCCCGGCTCCCAGCTCCCCCAGATGTCCGGTCTCGTTTTCACTGGGAGGTTGGGACGGGCAGTTGACCTGTAGGCCGTCGGGCCAATCTGGACCACATGCAGTTTAAAAAGGACATAACAATGTACTGCGTGTTTGTGCACCGTCTACTTTGCAGAGTTCCATATTCTGTGCTTCGTACGCCGAGGCAGCCCTTCGGTGCGTGAGGTTGGACAGGAGTCAATGCGCTCAGTGTTCTATTCTCTACGGAGTACCGAACACGGAGTTTTGCCATGGCCATGATTGGGGGCTGGGCAAGATTCTGGCGACTGCACTTGGAGCCAATCCTTCACCAGCGCCCATAGCACCTTCCCGCCACGCACTACCAACCTGCGCCAAGGGTCTCTTCGAGCACCCAGCACAGACCTCATAACGACTTGACACGTCAAGTACGAAAAAATGGTGCTCGCCCATCTTCAACGACGATTGATCATAATTACCTACTCCGTACCTAGCTACCCGTTGCAGGGCGAAGATTGTCTTTTTTTTTCTTTTTTCTTTTTTTAAGAAAAAAAGAACCATGTGTCTTGGTTCTGGCCGGCCAAACGACAAGCTTGGCGCACTTCCAGGCTTATAATACAATATAGTAAATGAATTTATTGATTGGGTTTGGTGGAGGTGCTTCAGTCCCCGGAGCCGCACACGCGAGTCGGCGTGGGTAACGTCCCGGAGGTAAAACAGTTGCAGATGGCAGGCCACATGTTATTGCGCCTTGACCTTCTGGTGCTAACATTTGGAACTTGTTATTCTACGGTGCTGCTGTTTACCTGGCAAGTTCAGGCTGCAGCTGCACCGGATACGTGGCACACGATACATGCGGGTCAGGCTTCGTCCGACGTCACAGAGCAGCACCCGACTTGGCCGAAATAAAAAGTCGAGATGGCGCGAGAGTAGAAACATAATTCATTGTTGGGGCTATGCTTGATAAAGTAGGCACCATGCATCCTTCAATCACGGCTCTCAGTAGCCCGCGTTTACGGAGTATTCTTTGGCATCTCTCGGCCTTTGGCCCCACAAACTGCAAATGCATCTCAAGGCCATCATTGCGCCTCCCCCATCTTTGATCAATTCACCACATTGAATCCTGTTGTAAGGCGTATTGATGATCCTGCAGTAGGAGTTTGGGCATCAAGAGCCTACGCCGATTGACTTGATCAACCCAGACGCCTTCCCTACAAGCAACGCCCAGCAATACGTAGCTCCAGCGCAGGCCATGCAGGCAAGCCACATGCCAGCGCATCACACCATCATCCGACAACGCTGCCGCACCTCTGCACGCCCGCTTCATCACGTGGGCGCAATGAAGCATTTGCAACCGGGAGCTCGTGCTTGAGAAAGATTAGGTAATATGGGCTGTAGACCTGTAGTGAAAGCATTCCCCAAGCTCCAGAGATTCTCAAGTCATCATGCCGTAATCCGTCAAAGCCAGAACCGCAATTGGCCAATCACACCCACCGTAGTCCTATTTGGGAACGGCGCCGATTACGTTGGGCTTAAGAATCGTTTGCTAATAGCTACAGTACAGTAACTGCACATGGCGCATATAAACTTTGAGACCATTATATATGAATGTTTCATTATGCAAACGTTGTAAATTGCCAAAGAAGAAGCCATCTTTTCCCCGCGAACCTTCTCCTCACTTCCACACGCCCTGCCCGACCAAGTATATATGTCTCGCCTCGCCACGGCTGTTGCCATTGTAATCGCTTCCATTTCCATCCTCATCATCAGCATCGCACCCAGCTTCAACCACACACTGTCACAAACCCTGTCAAGGGCCATCAAGCTCAGCATTTTCAGCAAACCAAGCGACCAGCCCATGCTCAAGTCGGCCGCCAACATGTCCAAGTCGGTCCTCCGCAACGCCAAGATCACGCCGCACCGGTCCGGCACCCGCGGCCACAGCGACCACGGCTGGCTCAACACGTACCACAGCTTCTCCTTTGCCAACTGGTACCACCCAAACTTCACGCACTTTGGGTCCCTCCGCGTGCTCAACGAGGACCGCGTCAAGGCCGACTCGGGCTTCCCCACGCACCCGCACCGCGACTTTGAGATCTTCAGCTACATCCTGTCCGGGGAGCTGACGCACCGCGACTCCATGCTCGCCAAGGGCAGCGAGGGCGGCCAGTCGGACAAGTTCTACCGCATGCACCGCGGCGACGTGCAGTTCACCACGGGCGGCACGGGCATCGCCCACTCCGAGTTCAACGAGCACAAGCGCGACACGGTGCACTTCCTGCAGATCTGGGCGCTGCCCTGGAAGAAAGGGCTCGCGCCGCGCTACCACACGCGCCACTTTGACGACGAGGCCAAGCGCAGGGGCTTCGTCAAGATCCTGAGCCCGCTGAAGGGCGGGAAGGACGCCACGGCCCAGCAGGAGAAGGACGCCGAGCCCGTCGTCGAGGGCAGCATTCCCATCCACGCCGACTTCGCCATGGGCGCGGGCATCGCCGCGCCCGGCAAGGCGTTTGAATGGGTCGTCGGGGCGGATGCCACCGAGCAGAACGGGAGAAAGGTGTTTGTGCACCTGCCCATGCTGAAGGGGGGCAAGGCCAAGATCCGCCTGGATGGGCGGGAGGACGCCGAGCTGGACGAGGGCGACGGCGCGTTTGTGGAGGGCGTCTTTGCCGGCGACAAGTTGGTCGTGGAGAGCATTGGGGAGGAGGAGGCAGAGGTTATTGTTTTGGATACTGCTTAGAGGGGGGACGGAAGTAACGGAATGGGCATGTTAATTACATATGTAGTTTTTTTTAAAAGTCTGCAAGAATATGGCTGTTTTATGTATGCATGTACTCGGGCTGACGTCGGTGCTTGAATGCGACTAAAAGAGATTGTATGCTACAAGTTTGCTGCATGGCTCAATTTTGTACAACGATGATTATCTTTATGCCTCTGGATTTCTATAGAAGTAATGTGGAAAAAAAAAAATAACGATGAAATTATTTGACTAGTAATCACTTGCTCACCGTACATCGAGTATAAACCGTCCGGCTGTCAAATGATAAATCTCCATATCCTCAAGCCAATATGTCCCAGTGCCGAGAGCTTATTTCGCAGAATGTCCTGGGCGCGACATGATTGGCCCGCGCAAACGGCACAATCACTTGATCTTGAGAGGGCCGAGCCGTCCATAGTTACCCGCGCGCCCATGATCTGCCGAAAAGGGGAATTGATATCTGGAAGTGGATGGGATTCTCACTTGTTCCGTGGGAGATTGTCGCATCTTGGCCGGGGCAGTGTGGCTGGGTTTGCTGCAAGGTACGCAGTGCCGTGAACGCATTGCAAGACGGTCCTTGTCCTCGAGGCAGACATGACCAATGTTGAGACTGCAACGACAGAAATGGCCAATGTGGAGAAGGAGATTGGCCGGCTTGGGAGGCCAGAGGCGTTCCGATGGAGTCAATGGGTTGCACTCGGCTTGGAACATGCTGCTTTCTGGCGGGTCGGCAACGCAGTTGGGCGTCCCCTACTTGAGAGGTTGAGTGTGAGGCGGTGATGCTGGGTTGGGGGCTAATAATCGGGTTGAACAAGTTGAACAAAACCTTTCTACGGTGGGTTTTGGTTGTTGAGATACGGATGCCAGACTCGCCGTGCCGCACTTGCTGGATAGAGGAAAAGGCAGTGACTTTGCCCCTGGGTTTCTCTTTTTCAAGTCTCAACTGTGTGCGTTACTTGATAGATTCGGACAGGCTTCTCTCGGGGGAATATTGCCAATAGAATCAAAGCCCATTCTGCATTAGACGTAGCAATTGAGGTACAAATTTTCCACAACCCCAACGCTTGCGAGAGTTTCCCTTTGTTTTGTAACGTCTTGGTTGACTGTCTTGCAGTCTCCATCTGGGAGGCAAGTTGTTGGTTTGCAGCAAGACACAATTGAGGCCAGGGATCCATGCGTCCTCATGCAACTCCAATCCACGAGAGCAACACGCGCACACACACGCACACATGACCACGAGGCCGCTCTCATTTCTTCTTCCCTTAGCGCAACTCATGTGAGCCCTGGCCCCGATCCAGACGCAACGGATGCAAAAACGTCCGAAGCGTGTGAAAAACCCTGCGGGGGTTGGGTGTTGGTTGGCCCCCCCGGATACTCGCTTGAGGCAAAAGAGGATGGTGGTCAAGACTCAAGCCCTCCGACGGAAGAGACTACTGGTGCCGCCCGGAACCAAGGTGGCGAGCGGCATTAACCTGAACAACTCATCAAGCTGATTGCCACCGGAACCATGCACGATGTTGGCGCCAGACGGTTGTAGACTCGTAGTTGGCTGCAGGCTAGCGTGAGGCAACAGCAGAGGGCAGGGAGATGATGGATTGGTGCCGTAAGGGTTGACCTCCTACGGAGTACTTGGTAGGCAATAAAGACACTGGGTTTGCCGACGTTGTAAAAAACCACGTCGACGTGCTTCTTTTGCGTACATGTAGCTGTTTCAGAGCATGTCTTGCCCTCAAGTGCTCTTTCCTTGTTCTGCCAGCTACCAGACCAGTTGACCGTTTTTGCGCCGCCCGACCCCAGATTGTGTTGTACCGGACGGGACATGTCTGGTACATGCCGCGCATCTCTAGGTACCTCGCACGTGGTAGGCAGTCTGGGGACGACCGGGTGCCGCCCGTCGCAGCGCCTCCCTCCCATTGTTCCGGCCATAGCTGGTTGCGCGACTTGTTGACGGCGACTACGATTTTCTGGCAAGACATTGCATTGCCCGTTGAATTGCTCACAGGCGTTGGCGTGGAGCGTCGAGGCGAGGCCAGCAGCTCGAGTGAAACGGACCAGGACCTTGCCAACTGGTCCCTGTCGGGCGGCGACTTGTTGAGGACGTACGACGTACCGAGGTACCTCCCGGACCCAGGCAGGTACCAGACTTGGGTGCACAAAGTACGGCGGCACATTGAACGGATATCCTCGCTGCCAGACCAGACTCCCAAGTCCCAACATTGAACGGCAGCATTGAACGAGTGCCGGGGATTGCGCCCGTCTTGCGAGGCCTTGGGCGGCCCCAATTGCGTGGCGCGCATCTGCTCACCGCGAGCTGCACAGGGCTGCGCCTTGACGTTGAACTTCCAGCCCCCCGTTTTTGGAGTTTGGACGTTGCATGTTGGTGCGAGTTGAGCCTTGAACCCGGATCCACCTGCCCACCTGCCCAGTACAGAGTGCCTGCTAAGGTACCTACCCCCGTCGGCCCCGACCAGCCTCAGCTCCAGTTCCATGTCTTGTCTGGTCTGGTCTGGTCTGGTAGCATTGACTGCCTGTTTGTCACCTCGCCGCCGCCGCCGTTGACATTCGACCAGAGTGAACCAGCAGGCGTTCAACTCCAACTTCCAATCCGATCGCCGCCTTTTTTTTCCTGCCACCACATTTTGACATCACCTCACTTCGGGGTCACCTTGTGCGCCTCCATCTCTGTCCTTCAATGCCCTTCCTCTCTCTATTGGGTGCCGGCACTCTTTTCATCCCTAGCTTGCATTCCAGCCAGTTCTTTTTTTATCTTTGCCTGGGCCCCCTCGACGTTTGAAAGCTCTCCGACGTCACACGGCAGAGTCGACACATTCTGGTCCCAAGCCAGACCTCTGCGCTGTGCGTCGCTGTGCCCTGCTCCTCGCGCTCATCTTGCCCAATCTTCGATTCCCAATTCCGGCAACCCAAGGACCCAGGCGAATCTAACGTCCAACGGCCAACGTCTCGCTGCCGCCGCGACTTGGTGGTGAGCTCGCCGCCTTGTCTCCTTCACACCCAGCCCCAACGGCCTCAGGAGTCTTTCCCCAGCCACCCGAGTCTCTCTTCCACGACCCTCACGAGACCCGCGACCACGAGCCTACATCTTACCCTAAGCAACGCCAGCAGCACCCGACTTTGCTGCCCACCCAGCAGACATTCCATCATCAGGACCCAGATCCTGTCTCAAGACTCTCCACGCCAGCTTCCTCAGTCCAACGATCTCTTCGCCGGACCCCCAGGTTTGAGTCCGCTCCCTCGCCGAGTCCGGCCAGTACAGAGCCGCGTCAAGTCCATATTGCCGCAGCCTCAATTGGCTTTTCTCCGAGCCCCGTCCCCTTTGCCAGGACGCGTCCAGACTCATCTGTCACTGGCCTCAGCTCTTCTCTGTTCGAGGACCGAGCCCGTCTACACCGGAACAATTCCCAAGATCTAAAAGAGATCCTTGACAAGGACATTTCCTCGGATCGACCTCACTCTCACCACCACTCCGGGTCTCACTCTCCCCCCCGCCGGGATCGGCGCGAGCCGCACCCCGTTGTCAGAGTTTCTAGGAACACCCATAGCGCTATTCTTTTTGCTCTTGAAGAGGCTCTTCGGTACCCAAACCCCTTTACGCCCGACGTCGTCGAGGAATCCGCTGATATGGCGGACCTGATGGCTGCCACCAGCGGACTTCCTGCTACATCCGGCGGCAATGGGGCGGCATCTACCCGCCGTCCCACAGCTGGGCCTGCGCCGACCAGTTCGCCGTCTGGAATTCGAGGGCCGAGGATGATTATGCAAGAACGGGCTGCCAGAGAAGCGAGACAGAGGGCAGAAGCTGAACAGCTGGCTCTAGAACGAAGCAGAGCCGAGCAGGAAGCACGTTTGCTGGATGAAACACGACGAAGGAATGCCGAACGTCCATCTGCTGGCGTTGCTGCTGGGCAACTCAGCGGCACAGAGCCGCCACAACTGCAGCAGCAGCAACACTCACCACCCCGTGGTCGTGGCCAAGCTGCCCAAGAAGCCACACATGCTCATAGAGTCCCAGCCGCAGTACCTACGGCTAAACCATCAGCAGAGCAGCAAATACCTGCACAATTTGCACCCAACACCACCCAGCAACCTACCAGATCACCTACATATGTCACATCTAGTGGCCGGCCGCGGCCCCAACAGCAGACCATTGCCCCGGCGGAACCCACGACTCAACCCACGGAGCCTGCGAAGCCTAGGAATTCGTTCCCCCATGCCTTTGAGCGGTGGGAAACGCTATCTGCTCATTGGGAGGGCCTGACAAGCTACTGGATTAGGAAACTAGAGCAGAACAAGGACGACATCAACCGCGACCCCTTGAGCCAACAACTCGCGCGGCAAGTTACTGACTTGTCAGCGGCTGGTGCCAACTTGTTTCATGCGGTGGTCGAACTACAACGGCTACGCGCCAGCTCAGAGAGAAAGTTCCAGCGTTGGTTCTTTGAGACCAGAGCCGAGCTGGAACGAGCGCAGGAGGTCAATGGCATGCTCGAAAAGGCGCTGGAAAGAGAACGACGAGACCGCGCGAATGCCATTCGCGATGCCATCGTCCATGAACGAGACACGTCCAAGGCCGAGAAACAGCTTGCTGAGATGCGCAAGGAGCTGCAGATTTCCAAGGAAGAAGCGCGCAGAGCTTGGGAGGAACTCGGACGGAGAGAGCAAGAGGAGCGAGACAGAACTTTATCATTACAGTCGGGCCACCCTACCGTTGTTGGCGGCGTACAAGTTGTTCCTATGACGCATGGCGGCGTCAGCCGGCAGGGCACCACCAGGAGGGAGCCAGAGGCGTATCAAGCCGAGTACCCGCAAAGCTACGGCCCCGAGCACCCACAGGCGCCCTCGGCAGCATCACCGACGACTTCGGGCCCCAGCGGCACCTATTACAGACCCCACGAGCAGGGGCAGTCGCATGCCCGAGGCAGATCCGGCGGCTCAGAGGGCGCATTCAGCGAAGGTGAGTACATTATTGACGCTGCAGGCAACTTTGTTCTCGACTCTCGAGGGCAGAAAATCCCCTTTGTTGCCGCACCGCCCTCTGGAGCTTCGGTTTCTGATCCGGAGGCAGACGATTACGATACGCCAGCAACGACGAACCCGCCCAGTGGTGCCCACGAGCCTGCATCCGCGCCCGAGGGCGAGGGTAGATGGACCGGTGATTATTCGGATCCCCAGGACTACTCTGGGCAGGGATATGGTGCACCTGGCTGGGAGACTGTTCCGCGGCATCACCATCCAACGCGGCTGAGCGACGTGATTGAGGAGGAGGATGAGCGAAGTCGCACGAGCGCAAGTCAAAGCCGGGGCCATTGAAACCGGATGCCCACGCTGGCCTCGGCTGTTGGCGCGCAACAACAACTTGGCCTTTGGACGATTTACAACTACGGCAATAGAGGATTAAAGTTTAAAGCACAAAGAGCCACCAAAGTCGGTATGCTTGGTGTTGTCGGATGAAAAAGTCTTGGAGTGGATACCCAACCCCATGGTTCAGGAGGCAGTATAAAATCTGGATTTGTCGATACCTCTTACTTGCTCTTTCCTACTTGTTTCTTATTCGCTTCTCTCGACTCCAAAGAAGACATTTTTATTTTTTCCTCCGTCTTGGGCGCGGTCCGTCTGAGCATGTTAAAGACACCCCATAGATGTTTTGCTTTATATTGGAGAAGGGACTTGCTGGTACTGGCCGGAGTGTGGGAGTTGGGGGTTGGGGTTGGATTGCTTGTAGATGTAGGGATTAATGAATATGATTACGACCTCGTGTGTTATTTTGCGTTTTGGTGCCTGTCGTCATGTTGCCGACCGCCGACCGGGGACTGATCCATCTAGAGACGGCGACTGTCCCACAGGGCCTTGAAGGCGCTCGCCCCCTTGGCCAGGAGGGCCTCGGGCTCGCCGACCTCGACGACTCGCCCCGCGGCCATGACGACGACGACGTCGCAGGCCCGCAGGACGTCGAGCCGGTGGGCGACCTCGACGACGGTCCTGCCGCGCAGGTCGTCCCGGATGGCGGCGCGCACGGCGTCGTCGGTCCGCGCGTCGACGCAGCTCGTCGCCTCGTCGAGCAGCACGACGGTGCCGGCGCCCAGCA